TGAAATGCATTTCAAACATCAGTCAAACAACATTTAAGCACAGCTCATATTGATAAAATAAGGTAGTAAAAGGTGAATAAACTTTGAAAAATGCGGCTCTGAAAAAGCGCCCCTTAACGGCCGTTTTGCTAAGTGCAGGCTTGAACCCCTCTAACCCGGTCGCCACAAATACTTCACACCATTCTGTGTTTTAGCTTCACTTCATTACAATACGTTCGGTTTAAGTAGCAACGACAATATAGAGGACAATGTTAAGTGCGACTCACCACCTAAAACGTGCGTAACGCGTCTTCCAAGACGAATTTTACCGGAGCTCTCTCCCTTCCATGCGTACTGGCTGTCTTCCTGAAACGTGGTCTTAGCACCTGACAAGAGATTACCAGAATTTGCATATTGTCAATCAAGTAATTATATCAGATTAGCTTAGACACAGGTGTGATCTCATTTGTTAATGAATCATCATAATTTGCATTTCTTTGCTAAGCTTTATAACGTAATAGACCAACACCATTTTCATTATACCATTATTTGCCTCACAAATTTATCATTCGACCTCTAAGATATTCCTTTAGTCTTTTATTTCAATAGATGACAGCATTACAGTTGGTTTTAACAGGTTTGAACACAATACACCTTTACTTTACACAGTTCTGAATTGCAATTTGCGGCTATGCTTTTAACAAAATATTGTCTCGAGTGTTTCTCAGTTTGATATACCTTACAATATCCTTAATAATGCAAAAATTACATTTTGGGTCAATCAACTATTCGGTAAATTTTTGTGTTTTTTCGCCCTCTGGAGCTAACGCCTTTCCTGGCGCCCTCCCCTTTTATTAATTTCTTTCAGAAAGCTACAATCTTTCCTTGTTATTTTCCTTAATTTAGTGCATTGACTTTTTGTATTTAAATCAATGAGGATTAAAGAATAATCAAACGGCTGCCTTGTCACTTACCTTTCTATTCAGAAAGAAACCCTGCTTCTATAGTTCTGACACGTTAAAATGGATCAAAAGCGCCATGGATCAAAAGCGCCCCACAACGGCGATAAAACATCACTGCAGTAATAGGAGCAACTGGGCCAATGTATTGCTGCAGTTCTTCAACGGCTGCTAGGGGCCGCTTTTGATCCATGTACAAAACTTCACTTTCGTAACGTCTTCGCAACGTATCCCGAGTCCAATCGTAGATAGGGCGGGCCCTCTTCGAGGCTCTGTGGTCCCTTTAGACTAGTGTCTCTCCGCTGCCTGGCTTAACTATGTCTCGGTTGGAGTTTTGCGCGGTTACGGTACAATTCTCACCGCGCAAAACACACAACAGGTGCCTACAGCGACCGGTTGCCTGGTTGAAGCCGGGCGGCGGAAAACTTCTACCGCCCCGAGTAGCGCCCGCGCGATCCACGAGATCTTCGTAATCCTGAACCGATTTAAAGTCACCGACAAAGTAAGAATAAGAGAAGGAACTGCTTGAGTCGAACTAGTTTTTATTTAATTCAACAATTATCATAAGTAACTTCAGAGGAAGGGACCGGTCCGGGAAGCCACTCCTCGTCCGCGGAGCTAGGCGCCTGTTCACCCCGACCAATCTAATCTGGACATTGCTCCGAAATTGGTGCATTCCTCACAAAATCGGACATTCCTCCAGGTTTGAGCGTTCACTCATCCAGGTGAGCGGACGTTCCTCCAGTTTTGAGCGTGTCGGCGAAATATTCAATCACGCGGAGAAGTGTACCGATTTTGGAGGGATGTACGATCAAAACTGGAGGAACGTCCGCTCACCTGGAGGAGTGTACGCCCAAACCTGGAGGAATGTCCGATTTCGGAGCAATGTCCAGATTAGATTGGTCGGGGTGCTGTTTCGGGTCGGCGTTGCACTGGTTTCCGTCTCGTAAACGGTCGTCGCCTTTTCTCAGAGCGGTCGTCGCTTTTATGAACGGTCGTCGCCTTTATGAACGGTCGTCGCCTTTATGAACGGTCGTCGCCTTTATGAACGGTCGTCGCCTTTATGAACGGTCGTCGCCTTTTCTTAGAACGGTCGTCGCCTTTCCGAACGCTACTTTAGGCATAGCAGTTACATATACCACGTAGATTTCACAATGAAAGCAACTTTTTTTGACGAACTTTTTTTTTATTCGCACGCTCGCATCTCATTACCATATGAATGGAAACCAAGCAGACGTTGTGAGGTAATATCGTAACTTTCTGAGGGATTGCATGAGTATACGTCTGACATCTGCTTGGTTTCCATTCATATGGTAATGAGATCGACAGCGAAAAGTTCGCTTCTGCAAATGTTCTGACCACTTCTGCAAGCGATCAGCTGATCGCAAAATCACGTTTTGACATATAACTCGAGAATAAAGCAAATTTGATGGAAGAGAATAAGTAGGAATATAATGAAGACCATAAGGAGTATATACTCTAAAAACATGGAGGCCGAAAAATGTCAAAACTTTCATTTTTCAAAAATTTAAAAAGCGGAAATCCATTCCCTATCACACCCCCGTTTTAGAGCCCGCGTTCCGAAAAGGTCCGTATCTCGCTAAAGAAGCCTCGCTCATTCCCAGATTTGGCCATTTGGCGAGTTGGGAAACGTGATGGGCTCTTATGGGGGTTTTTACTTCTGGTCATTCCCGCTCTCGTTCTTGACCTTGAGACTATTTCTGACTACCAAAATACCGAGAATTTATCAGGAAAGAACTGTTTTATCGACGGAATTTTTAATATGAGTCTTGGTTCACAAATGGGATTTGTACGAGTGGTTGAATTTGGAGATTTTTTTGGCCGCTTAGGCCACACCAATTTAATTTCTTGGTTAACGGATTCGCCCGCTTCATTTTTTTCTGATTTGCAAATAAAAATAAAAATTCAGAATCAACTGCAAAATGCTCATATTTTGCCCTGAACAGTTGAAAACAGTCCTTTTCTTCCTAGTTGTTACAGTTATTCCATCTTTCAATGCAATGGTATCATTAAAAGTTCAAAATTCATTGTTTAAATTTTGAACCAGCCTGGTATGTTGACTTCATGGCTCCTATCGTACCATTTTGGGCCATAATAGGATGCCTAGGCCTGTTTTTATTTTTATTTTTATTTTCGTCCGCCCGCTCCATTATTCTTCTTCAAAAATCCGTTAACCAAGAAATCAAATTGGTGTGGCCTTATGTTTTAAATAGTACATGTGGATGCATGTAGATTACAACACACATACATACACTAAAAAAAACGTCCAGAAAATTTATTTCAAACAAGCATTTCTTCATCACAAAACACATTCAACAATTTATATTTTTTAAAAATTTAAATCAACACATTAGAATAACTGTAACTGTTACAGTTGTATTTCTGTTGGATTTTTTCTAATATATAAGATAAAATTTATGTTTTAGCTCTACAAACAGTAATTTCAACTGTCACTAGCTATATTTTTTACATTGCTGTATATTCTTATCATACTTTTGAAAAAAAGTATATTTTCATGAGTACAATAAAACTATGTACCAATAAAACAATAACATTTTCAATATGACAATAGAATATTTACAAAAGTCTACAATTGTAACAATAGTTGTACATTCATATTTACATCACCAACGGGACAAAATTAATACAGAACTTAGAAAGGCTTTCATGTGAAATATGTTACTAAAATTGATGCGTAATTTTGCAAAATAGTTGAAAGTTTCATAATTTATAATCTTTAAGTTGAAAGCCATTTTCCCACTTTTGTAGTTTATCCCTTTCTCAACAGTATGCATTGTTGACAGGCACAGATTTACTCTCCAAGCAGATGTTTGAGTTTTGGGTTATTTTTGACATGTTTTTAGACTTTTTTTATCAGGGTTTCTTTCATCTAACCTTTGGGTGAAAGAAAAATTCCAGTGCAAAAAAGAAACCCTGATAAATAAGTCTAAAAACATGTCAAAAATAACCCAAAACTCTGCTTGGAGAGTAGCACGAAGGTACATGCAGCACTTTATGGTAGCATAATGGCACCAATAAAAGTAGTCAAAAACTGCATTTTCTGACAAAATAACAAAGAATACATTTCTTGCATTTTTACAATCTCATTGCCAGAATTTCAATTTATTCCTTAAGAAATGACCCTGTTACGTTTTTTTTCAGCAGCATATGCAAACTTCAACAAGGATGTTTTTTCCTGAAAGAATACTGGGTACTTTCAGGTACTGGCACTCAGTATTTCGGCAGAACATCTCATATAAGGTTGTATTTGCTCATATAAGGTTAGCATTTCGACAGTAGTTTCCAAATGTTGTGTCGGAAAGAATATCCTCTGCAACAGGAAAAATTCTGATGCAACGTTGACCAACGAAAACGCGAAAATACGGGGTTCTGCGCAGGCGCAGTACGTTCTGCCGACGTGCGTACACAATCCATTGTATAATCTTACTGCATTGATATAAGTTGCCTGTGCACTCTTATAAAAGTTTTGCTCGAAGATATCATACATATTTCACAAGCTGAAAATTGCAGATTGAAATATGTTTCAAGTTGGACAGTGGGATATATACCCCATTTGTAGTGGCCTGTGTGGCCCAAGGGCTATAGAAACAGAGATGCGCACTGCCCCTTTGTACCAAATGGTTCAGGCAAAATTGTAACTTAAAACTACAATATTAGAAAAGTAAGAAACATGTAATTCTAAGTTACTGCAGCAGAACTTTCTTTGCATTTCTGTGGCTTAGGCCACACCAAGTAAATTTTATGGATGACGTCCGCGCGCGCATTGATTTTGGCCTGTTCCTAGAAAAAAAAAACAAGAAATTCCGCTTCCTGTAACTATGAACAAAGAGTCACGACAGTGCCGCAAATCGTCAGATTGATGTGAAACCCGTAACGCGAAAACAGGACAGGACGACAACTGCTGTTCCACCTGATTTATTACTGTTTCGATGATGAATAAAAGACTTCTTGCTTGTTACACTGTGTCACCTCATTCAATTTGTGTCCTAACATTTGTGGTCTCTTAGTATTTTTCTCATCTAGGCATCTTGTTTTTTAGGGCCCTTCTTGTTTTTTTTCTCGCCCTCTCGCATTAGATTTAGGGTCTGCAAAGGACGTCATCCATAAAATTTACTTGGTGTGGCCTTACAAAACTTCCTAGGGATCATCTCGTGGCTGGAAAATGTCCTGCAGTGCTACCGTTTCCCCCCAGGGGGAGCACTTTTGGCCCTGGTCTGTAGTCTGGTGTCCAGCCACTCTTCATAATCCTCTGTTGGCATCTCAATGATCTTCTCTCGAACAAACTGTGGAAAGACAAAGATTTAGATGAATATTCATAATCATGATAGATTTTTGTGAATCATCAGATCAACATAATTCTTGTTTTTCAGATCCCTAGAAAAGAAATTATTATATAATGTTTACATACAGTAATAACATTTAGCATGTACAATGTAGATTGCAGTTGTTCTCAAATTGTTGGTCCTTTGATTTGGGAATAATGATTCAAAGAGAAATGTCAACACTTAGATTCCTATTAATAGTTTTCCTCCCAGCCCACTCTTTTGATGTTTTCCTATTTCTAAATTTCTACTTAAAGATTTCTAACATCGTTGAAGAGGTTCATCAGTCATATAGAATTATCAGTTAGTCCACACCAATTTAATTTGTTGGTTCTCGGATTTTTTCAGAAAAAACATGAAGCGACAGGGTGAAAAAAAATAAAAATAAAAACAGGTCTAGGCATCCTATTATAGGCTTAAATGCTATGAAATGAGCCATGAAGTCAACACAAAAGGCTGGGTTAAAATTTAAACATTGAATTTTGAACTTTTAATCATACCACTGCAATGATAGATGGGAAAACTGTAACAACTAGTAAGGAAGAAAAGGACTTTCCTCAATTGTTTGGGGCAAAACATGAGCATTTTTCAGTTGATTCAGGACCAGAATCAATTTTTTTTTTTGGAAATCAGAAAAAAACGAAGAGGCGAATCCGAGAACCAACAAATTAAATTGGTGTGGCCTTAATATTAAACAGTGCATGTTCTTAAGGGGAAAGTCTATGCAGTTGCAGTGAGTTCCCAATAATATAGATTCAAGTTTTCCTCTGACTAGCCCACTGTTTTCATGTTCTCCTATTGCTAAATTGCTAAAGGAAAGATTTCTAACAATGAAGAAAATACTGGGGGTATGTCGTACCTCTATAGCAGAGCTGATATCAGGAGCACACAGCTCCCATGGCCGGAGTGTGGACAGGACCTTGAGGAACTGGTGAGGACTGTACCTTCTGCTGATGCCGTCCAACTGGACCTGGGCAGGGGAGGACGGAAAGTTGGTATTTTAATAAGACTGATTTAATTTTATGGATCCATGTGTGCATTGATTTTTGCCTGCTTAAAAAAAAAAATCCAAGGCTCTGGCCTGGATGCCATCCTCCGTAGTCCATGGTATCTGGTGACAATAGAGAGCCGGCAGTAACTACGGGAGGTGGCACCCAGGCTGCCGAAGCTCGACAGAACTCAAGAACTCAGTACAGTGCTGACTCATACATGTAAATGCCGCAAAAAGGCCAGCATGTTGTAAAAGTCACTCTGTACTATCGCAAAATCACAATACCAAAGTTTGTATCCCAGTGGTTTAGCATAATTTTTTTTTTTGCTGGATCTTTTTATATTCGTCCACACGCACTAGTTTGGGGGTGTTCATGAATATTTTCATTTAGAAATAACTAGTTCCCTGTACTTACAATGCCGTATCTGGAGATTTTCTCCAGGATGTTGAGACAGAATCTGTCGTCCCTGATGTTTGGTGGCAGGTTCTCCTGTAGGTCCTTATACCTGTGGGGGAAAAAAACACCTTACACTAAGTCTGGTAACTTCAACTTCCTAATCTGTGCACTTCCAGTACTTCTTGTGTCCATCCAGATACTAGACACCACTGGAAGAAACTGGAAGTGACATCTCTACCCTAATCCCATATGACACAGAACTATAGAACCTAAGGGACAAGAATGACAGGCTAAGCAACAGATTAATCCAACTCGTCAACCATGTAACATCTCACTCTTTCACTCACTCACTCACTCACTCACTCACTCACTCACTCACTCACTCACTCACTCACTCACTCACTCACTCACTCACTCACTCACTCACTCACTCACTCACTCTCACTCACTCACTCACTCACTCACTCACTCACTCACTCACTCACTCAGTCTCTCACTCACTCACTCACTCTCTCACTCACTCACTCACTCACTCACTCACTCAGTCTCTCACTCACTCACTCACTCTCTCACTCACTCACTCACTCACTCACTCACTCTCACTCACTCACTCACTTACTCACTCACTCACGCGGGTCAGATCGGACGAAGGCTGGAGTGTGATCCAACCTGCGGGAGGGCTGGGACCAAGGGTGATGCGATATACACCGTGTTGTATTTTATTTATGTCATACCCACCAAAGAATCCAAAATGAGGCAACATTTGGTGTCCAAAACCAAAAAATGCAACGTTAATTCCAACGTCCAAATCGGGTATTCGAATCTTTGAAAGCAGTACATGTGGCTTAGATGAAACGCGTTTAAAATTAATGATTCTATGGAATATCTGGAAGCCCACATAAAGAACCCAGGCTGTACCAGTTATTACACGGGCTGGAACACCCATATCAAACTTTATCACAGCCCAGCTATGACAAAATACAAAATGATGACAGTAGTCCAGAACCCACCATGGAGCGTGGACCTTCTGTCGGCGCAGGTTCTCGTACTCCTCCTGCTCCCGTCTCTCCTCCTCCTGCACCGCCGTCTTCATCTTATCCACCGCACGGAAGAAACTGGTCGGGTGGCCCAGCGTCCGGAACTTAGTCTCACACTTCTGTTTTCTTTTCCTGAAGAATACAAGTACATGTTATTAATAAGCCTTGTATCTTTTTACATTGTACAAAGATGAACAGTGGGGTCGTGTGGTGCAGTTGGTAGTGTGTTCGGCTCACACCCAAGAGGTCACGGGTTCAAACCCTACCCATGTCACTGATCTTGTGCCCTTGGGAAAGGCACTTTACACGACTTTCCTCACTTCACTCAGGTGTAAATGAGAACCTTAGTCTATAGCTTTGGTTAGCGACGTCCCTCGGATAGGACGTTAAATGGAGGTCCCGTGTTTGGGACAGCCACACCCCACGCACGTTTAAGATCCCGCTGCACTTATCGAAAAGAGTAGGGGTCCTTCCCGGTGTGAGTGGTTCAAACCTTACAGTCAGGTCTTACGCAGCTTGTACCGGATGTGCGTGCATGTACAAAACTGGACCAGGTGTGTTATGCCTAAAGCCAGTTTACCGGTTATGCAAAAACAAACAATCTTTCCACCTCACCTGTCCAGAGCCTCCAGATTGTCGTGGAGAGTGAGGGACTTCTCAGCCGTGACGTCTGCAAACCTCTGCTTCATCTCCAGCGGCATGCCCTGCTGCCGCACGCTCGGGAAGTCCATGTACAGCGCAAAGTACGCTGGCGAGCTGGGAATGCATGGGACGCAATGGATAATTAGATACAAGACTACAATCAGGATTTTTGGGTGCTTTCCCAGATACAATTCCTAAATTTCAAGTCAATTCACTTAAATCTAAAGTCACTGTGACATGAATCAAACTGATAAGTTTTAACTGTTTTTTAAATTATCTTTTAACCTACAGACTCGAATCAGTATATCTGTTAGCATTGCCAGAATTGGTAGAATTGACAATAATATTTCTTTTGACACTCTGAGCCTCTGATCAGGTCCCATACCCGACTTCAATAAATTGATGATAAATGTAAAAGATACTTTAATTTATATTAACTTACTATTATATTTATCTAGTAGTTGGAATTTTGAAAATTTTGAGAGGCTACTAAAGGGAACATGTACCTAAGAGGTCTGGCAGGCAGGGATTTGGTGGAGGGTGTGGAAGGGGTTCCCCTGAGTCTGTAGTCAGCAAGCTGTGAACGCACCTCATCTGTGGGGGAGGGCTGGTGACAGAAGTTCAACAAATGTTTAAAAAATTATACTAACACAACAGGCAATCCTAATTACAAAACTCCAACAAAACTCTGTGTAAGTTTTTTATACTAGTACTGTAAGTTGCTTTCTACTCCTTTCTACTGCTTTCAAATGTAGCCAAGTCAAGTCACAGTTGGTTGAAATTTCATGCCTTGAACCTTGAACAGGACATCAATGATGTGAACACAGATGTCAAACTTTAAGAACAAACTTAATGTAATAAAACAGGTACTACTTATTTTACTATCAAACAATGAATTATACATCAGTCCTATAAATTAAGCATGTGTAAATTTAACTGTTTGCATCAATGTGTTTTACAGTGCAATGTTCAACTAGATGTGTACGTTACAACTTGGGGACTGTTCGAAATCCAAACTTGATCGCCAACTTGTCATACTGTACAAGCTTGCAAGTGCAGACTATGTGAACAGTTTAAGAGACTAGAAAAACAGGTGGTTTGTGTAACATTAGACATTAGGCCACACCAAGTAAATTTTATGGATGACGTCCTTTGGAGACCCTAAACCTAATGCGAGAGGGCGAAAAAAAACAAGAAGGGCCCTAAAAAACAAGAGGCCTAGATCAGAAATATACTAAGAGACGACAAATGTTAGGACACAAATTGAATGAGGTGACACAGTGTAACAAGCAAGAAGTCTTTTATTCATCATTACAGCAATAAATCAGGTGGAACATCAGGTTGTCGTCTTGTCCTGTTCTCGCGTTACGGGTTTCACGTCAATCTGACGAGTTGCGACACTGTCGTGACTCTTTGGTCATAGTTACAGGAAGCGGGATTTCTTACAGAACAGGTTACAGGAAGCGGGATTTCTTACAGAACAGGCCAAAATCAATGCTCGCGCGGACGTCATCCATAAAATTTACTTGGTGTGGCCTTACACATATTACACAACACAGTCATGTACATCTTATGTTTGACTTACTGGTATATCAATCCTCAATGTTAGGACAGCTGCTCAGAAATACAACAACATTGAAGAAGGTTTGAAGAAGATTGTTGTTAACAATAGGTTTTAGAATTACATTGTAGTTTAGTACATATTTCAGACTTTTAACTTTAGATGAATACAATTCAAGACTGAGGAAACATCAGAAGTTGTATAATTGCCACAAATGTTACTGTGTGTCAATTCTTCACTTAAACTACATTTGGGAAACACCAAATTGTGTGTTTTAAAAGAGTTTTCCAGACTTACATTTCGAGCGGATCCTGGCATGCCGTAAGCACGCGACTGTTTCCTGAGCGCCATCATGGCTCGTGCCCCCCTCCCCACCGTCTGCATGGACATTCTGAGGAAGAAATATACACATGTAATGAGCTTACTATAGGGTAATTTTTTAAGTCATGGATGTAGTTGTACTATGTCTTAAAAGTTTATATTAGTTTGAAATATGGTACAGTACTACATGTAGTCTTTGCGTAGTCCAGTTGTTAGTGGCCCTGCCTATATGGACCAAGAAGTTGTGAGTTTGAATCCCGGCTGTTGTTGCTCACCCAACATTACTGGAAAGGCTTTTTTAAGACAGGATGTTAAACTGTGGTCTGTTTATTGAGATGTTGGAATTTCAAAGAGCAAGAGTAGAGTAATTTCTCTTGTAGAGCCTTCCCTGTTATGACATAGACTGGATGTCAGACTCCCATAACACACTACTGCCCAGAGTTAGCCAGACGAGTGTGAATCAGGGCCTAATTGAGGGGGGCTGTGGTATAATTTTATTGGGGCCAGGAGTCAAGGAACTGGCCTATGTAGGCCCTGCAAACAGTCTAGCACCCAGGCTAGTTATGACAAGGTTCTGAGTGAAAGATCATCTCTTCAGTGTTCAACATTTAACTTTTGATAACAAATTCCTCACCTGTCCACAGCCCTGGGAGAATTGATTGTGATAGTGGGGGTGTCCCGTCTGGAGGCAGAGTCTTCCGCGCTCCCCGGTCTCAAGTCTCCGTCCTGCGCTAACCCCTCCTCAGCCTCCTTCTGCAAGTCTGCACTGATATCTGACAGGAACTTCAGAAGGGCTGTAGAAAAATAACAGAACATTCCAGAAAATTACAAACTTGTAAACATGCCAGATGTATGTGGGCTGTTGGTCTGTTGTTGAGAAATTTTAAAGCATTTTTATCAATGGTACATTTTACGTTTTCAGTGACCTTCATTCCTCCATTAAGACCTTGCTACCTCCTTGCATTGTGAAATTATTCCAGGTTTAGTGCCTTTTTATCCACCAATTATTCATTATCATTATTTAATAATCTTAATTCTGCCAGGTACTGAAAGACTGCCACATTAATATTTAAAAACATCGTGCCATCGAAAGCCTTTTCAGAATGTCTTGAACTGTACAGTGGATATCATTTTCTGATGAAATGAACATACATGGGGTTGGTGGAAAAAGGAGTCCAGTCCAATTGACGGAAAAAGAAGTCCAGTCCGATTTGGGGGTGGAAAAAGCATAGAAACTCTAAGTACCCATAGAGACCCGAAGTACCCATAGAAACTCAAAGTACTCATAGAAACTTGAAGTACCCATAGAAACTCAAAGTACTCATAGAAACTTGAAGTACCCATAGAAACTCAAAGTACTCATAGAAACTTGAAGTACCCATAGAAACTAGAAGTACACACACAAGAAAAAAATGTGCCTGAGTGTGGTCTTTCGTAGAATTTCGTAGAAACTACCGTACTGCTTTTTCCACCCCCAAATCGGACTGGACTGCTTTTTCCGCCAATCGGACTGGACTCCTTTTTCCACCAACCCGCATACATGTATCTCAGAGGTTACTGAATGTTGCATTTATTCTACAATTATTCAATTATTTTCTTCATGTGGTGGTCTTAATCTACATTGTACCAGGTAGAATTATGACACTTCTAAGTATTACATCTTACAAATTTTTACTAAGGACATAAATAAATTTCCCCTCATTCACCAATTTCACACTTCCCACAATGCCTAGTAACGGTCACGGATATGACGTAAGACCACCCCTCCCCCTTCCTCAATGTAATATTTCCAACAAGTTCTATCGACAAACTGGTCAACTATTGCTTTGAATTATTTCTCTTAAAGCGCATGCCATAATTGCATTTTTGTTGGAATTAGAGAAAATGACGTAATTTCTATCATTCTAATATATGTAATGCGACCGTGCGAGTAGGAGAGTCTTCGGTAGAAGGTAGAACGATAGAAGGTACGTCATTTTCTCTAATTCCAACAAAAATACAATTATGGCATGTGCTTTGTACTAGAGAAAAAATTAAAAGCAATTGTTGACCAGTTTGTTGATAGAACTTGTTGGAAATATTACATCGAGGAAGGGGGAGGGGGTGGTCTTATGTCATATCCGTGCCCATTACAAGGCATTATGGGAAGTGTGAAATTGGTGAATATTAAATTGACAGACGTCCAATTATCACCAGATTGGTTAGTGATAACTGTGTAGGTTTTGGTGACCTAGTGTGGTGCTGAGGTGTTCCTCTGACTTACTGCCATCCTTTCTGGACCTACTGTATTTTCTACTCCTTCTAGATCTGCTTGTGTTGGCTGAAAAGGGAAGAACTAGACAGTTTCTACATGGCCATATGATTTCATTTCTGATCAATTATTTTTTTGTTTATTTTATGAGTTAAAATAACACTCAGGTCTGTGACCTGCAGCTGTTTTTCAGGTGTCCCTGGATCCCTGAAAATTTCATAGTATTACACATTAGCAATAAAAAAAATTGATTGCAATGATTGACATTAAGCAAACAACATAGAATTTATGAAACTTAATATTATAGCAATTATTATAGCTGTGAATACAAAGTTAAATACAGGTTTACACTACCACCTTCCATCCTTAAAGTACCGATAGTTTGGTATAGCCAATTAGACTAACATGACATTACTTCTATTATAATGTGGACAATGGCTATTGACTCCACTCTGAGGGGTCAAATTATTCTATTTTAATACCTGAAAATATAAATATGATTTGTACAATCAGGTACACAGAAAGAAAAACAAAATGCATCATCTGGACCCCAATCAATAATCATATACCAAAAATCAAAGACATTCGACAAACCCACTATGCTGCAAAGTTCAAATAACTCAAAAGAATACGGTAACCTTCCCATATACATTTGTAAGGATATCTCCTTCCAGAGGTAAAAACTTGAAGACATTCCTGCATAGTGATGCCCATAGACTTTGGGAGCACTGGCGCTCCTTAAAGTTAAAAAGTTAGTCTGGAGCCCTGTAAGCAACAAACAAGCATAGAAACTTTCATAATATTCCTGCTACATGTACCTACCTTTGTCATACACCTCATCCACTTCATCTGCCTCTGGTACATCTTCACTAACCACGATGTCTGGAGCGGTTACCGGGCTGGTGGTCACCGTCGGGGTGGGAGGGGTGGGGGGTACGGGACTGGGGGAGGGGGGTCCTGGGGAGACCCGACCGGAGCTGTGACTCCCGGGACGACTGCTGACGCTCGGCGAGCGAGCGATGGAGACTTTCCGCGCGCTAGACGGTCGACGAGACCCTGCAGCTAGTCTGATACTCAGTCTGGTTTGCTAAATAAACACAAAATATGAGAATGACATTTTGTCTGTTTTGGTATGGTTGTTCACAATATTTAGTAGATAAGTAGGGGTAACAAAGACGAAGGTCAAGTTCGAAAATGAAGTTAACATTACATAAGAACAGTAATTGTAATTATTACAGCAGCCGGTTTAAGATTCAGTCTGTTTTGCTACAAATGCAAAATATGAGCAATGAAATTTTATTTGTGTTGGTAAAAAGAAATAGCATATAATTACTGTTTGACCACGTTCCAAATTTTGAAATTTTGTCTGTTTTGGTATGTGGTTGTTCACGATATTTAGTAGAAGAGTAGGGGTAACAAAGACGAAGGTGAAGTTCGAAAATGAATTTAAAATTACAGAAGAACAGTTACAGTTACTGTAATAATTACAGCAGCCAGTTTAAAACTCAGTCTGTTTTGCTACAAATACAAAATATGAGCAAATTGAAATTCTATTTGTGTTGGTAAAAAGAAATAGCATATTATTACTGTTCGACCACATTCCAAATTTTGAAATTTTGTCTGTTTTGGTATGTGGTTGTGCACAATATTTAGTAGAAAAGTAGGGGTAGCAAAGACGAAGGTCAAGTTCGAAAATGAAGCTAACATTACAGAAGAACAGTTACAGTAACTGTAGTAATTACAGCAGCCGGTTTGAAACTCAGTCTGTTTTGCTACAAATGCAAAATATGAGCGATGAAATTTTATTTCTGTTGGTAATAAGAAATAGCATAATTACTGTTCAACCACTTTAAAACAGATTCTGAAGATATATTTTTGACCAGTTATCTGATCCTTTTTTATAAGACAACTGAGTACCTGATAGCAAAACAGACTGAAGAAGACAGAAGATTGGTCGAAAATTTGATGTGTAATGTTTAACCAATACATTCGATCTTGGTGTTGAAAATACATTTGAATTCTTCCATAGCACTAAAAATCTTCCATAACAAAAAAAAACAACAACAGTAAGTTGTCTAACTCTGTCTATTCTTGGCTGTGAGATGAACTGGGCCCACTTTGTCTCCGTCATTTTCTCCTTCTTCAGTTTCTGTTGGGTTGTCTTCGTACCTCCGGGTTCCCTGTAAATTATCATAATGTTTAATATTAATGAATGAAATATTGATTACAGAAAAAAGGTAGTCCCATATATAAAAGCCTTTTTTGAGGCTGTAGAGGCAGTGGGATGTAAACCAATTGTGAAGACCACTGTATTGGAAGGTGAAGCCCATCCTTCTCTTTCCACCGCCTTTTACCTCCCCAACTGAAGTCAGGTACCCATTTTACACCTGGGTGGAGTGAGGAAAGTCGTGTGGCTTTCCCAATGTCTTAAGCCAAAGGAATGCATGGAATTGAACCCCCACCTCTCAATCTTGTGCATGGAATCGAACCCCCACCTCTCAATCTTGTGCATGGAATCGAACCCCCACCTCTCGATCTTGTGCATGGAATCGAACCCCCACCTCTCGATCTTGTGCATGTATGGAATCGAACCCCCACCTCTTGATCTTGTGTATGCATGGAATCGAACCCCACTCTTGATCTTGTGTATGCATGGAATCGAACCCCACCTCTCGATCTTGTGCATAGAATCGAACCCCCACCTCTCAATCTTGTGCATGGAATCGAACCCCCACCTCTTGATCTTGTGCATGGAATCGAACCCCCACCTCTCCATCTTGTGCATGGAATCGAACCTCCACCTCTCGATATTGTGTCCCTAGCCACTCGACCATTCAATGCTATTGAAATCATGATACTACAATATGAAACAGTTTTCTTACTTGAGGTCCCAACATGAAGAGATGGGCATCATGACACTGGGACCCTCCAGAGACATGGACTCCAGGATCCAGTTCAGAGCACACAGCTGACGGAAAAAACTTTCTCTGTCACGGGGGAAAAAAATGGAGTTAGAAAACAAGTACAGCTGTGTACATAAACCAATGTTAGGTACATTAGAACAGGTACAAAATGTACACAGGTTTGGATCTGTACCTGTACCCTGTGAGTGTTCTAGCCAACATTTGTCTAGCATTTCATCATTCAACTGTAGAATTTTGCTGTTCGAGACAGGCAAAAATTTTGCCAAATCCTTCACTTTTGAGACACAAAAATCCGTGTGTATATCAAAGATATGGAAAGAGCTGTAAAAATTTGTCACTCAAAATGCAGGATACAGTGTTTCAGAATCTGAAAATTTCAAAATGGCTCAGTCAGGGAACATTGCCTGGACTTCCTTAGGATTGAGACAGAAACTAATATGTATTCACAGCTTCATTGTACCCGGAAATTCCCCTAGCTCTTTTCCACAAGCAAAAAAACAACAACAATGGACCATAGCGTGGTCCAGGGTTACTTGAGGTCCAGGGTTACTTGAGGTCCAGGGTTGCTAATTACTATAAAATAATACTTGTCTACATACATACTAGATACATAGCCTTAACCTCAAACACAGCGACTTACAGCTCAATGGGTGTTGCAGGTTGGTGTGCGTTGATGTTGGAGTAACAGGGGGTGAAAGGTCGCGGAGGGGCGCTGTGCGGACCTTTCTTCTTCTTCGTGCTGACGGCGGAACGTGTGCGAACGGACGGTGCAAACTCCGACTGGGCCGCGATGTCAATTGTGCTGTAGGAATAAGACAGAAGGAAAGAAATTAATAAATGATGTGCAGTTTGAGTCAATCAAAGATTCTAAGTTAGCAAATGTAAGATTCAAAGGCAATACTCAATTCACTGCTGCTAACTTCACCAACATGTAAGCCTTATGTATACAGTCACTGTGGTATTTCATGTTGAACAAGCAATTGACAATGTTTTATTATCATATATGTTATATTGTTTTGTAATATTATTATTGTCAAATTCTAGAAAGAAAAGTGCAACACATATTAACTTTCTTTATAAAATATTCTTGAAGATGGTAAGAAATTTACATGTAACGTTATAATCCAACTGACAGACTTGTGAGTTCGACTCAATCTTCCAACTTTTTCTTTTCAACTATGTCTTTATTTTGTTCCACCTACCCAGCATGACTCGTAGCAGCACTTTTTGTTCTCGAACTGCTCCCCTCTGGAACTTCTGTTTGGAAAAACCTGGGAGGGAGACAACAGAACAGAAAACGTTATGATATAACAATTATAACAAAAAGACATAGGCACCATGATTCTGTATCACAATTTACTCAGCTGTCAATATTTCTTTATCCAAGTGTGCATCTCTGAAAAAGTAAAATAATTATTATTTTGAATTATTTACAAGTTTGAAAAATGACAATGTAATATTACATGCTCTTAAAGTAAATGCATTTTCGAATTATTTTACAAGTTTGAAAAATGACAACGTCAATATAATATTACATGCTCTTAAAGTATTGATATTTTTACAAGTTTGAAAAATGACAATCCATGCTCTTAAAGTATTAATGCATTTTTTAATCATTTACAAGTTTGAAAAATGACAATGTAATATTACATGCTCTTAAATTATTAATGCATTTTTAATTATTTACAAGTTTGAAAAATGACAATGTAATATTACATGCTCTTAAAGTATCAATGCATTTTTGAATCATTTACAAGTTTGAAAAATGACGACGTAATATTACATGCTCTTAAAGTATTAATGCATTTTTTAATCATTTACAAGTTTGAAAAATGAAAATGTAATATTACATGCTCTTAAAGTATTAATGCATTTTTAATCATTTACAAGTTTGAAAAATGACAATGTAATATTACATGCTCTTAAAGTATTAATGCATTTTTGAATTACATGTATTTACAAGTTTGAAAAATGACAATTTTATATTGACATGCTCTTATTGCCCTGATAAATATGGTATTGCTTGGTTTTATAACACACTTTTGTGGACACTTAGTTTTCAAGCACTACAGGAATTTCACCAGATCAACTTCTACGATTACTTGTAGTTAAATCAATTTCTACAGAGCCATTCCAACATGTTGCCATAAGTTCTGTCAAACCTTGTTGATTAACGTTCACATTGATATTGATTAATTTTTACGTTAATATTGATTAATGTTCACGTTAATTACAGTTAACGATCACTCCTGCCTACATCTATCTACTTGCACCCTATAAATTACACCATAATTAGTTTACACTTTGGAACTTTTTATCGCAAATTGAGTCACATCCTAGCAACAATCGTTTGCGCACTGTTGTTCAGTGACATTGTAAAGAGTTTCTTCTCTGAAATAAGTTTCATTATTCATTGAGTCATTGAATCAATAGATAATTATTGAAGTTCTTTTAAGTTCAAATCAAACTCTGAAGCACCTGTTAGCATTTTGTAGCCCCTTTACTACTTTAATTTTCCTTACAGTCAGTGACACTCAGATTTCTGATATTGACTCACGAAGCTACTTTTTCCAACAATGCCCCTATGTATTGCCTGAAAGAAAGGCTATGGACTACTTTTCCTTTTTAGCAGCAGAAAGTATATATTATCCAGTCAGTATTGTCCTGAGGAGAACTAGAAAGACCAATTTGGCAGCCACATTAGACTTGTAAGAGTGCTAACTCAGAAAAATCTAGTAACATTGGCTTGTAAGTGATTTTCAAATACGTTGTCACGTAGCGTCAAATCAAGAGTGGTTGATTAGCTTAAGGAGACAGAAGGTTGCTGGTTCAAAGTCATTAACAGCTGTGTGTGTTTACTGCGGGCTTGAGTTGTGGATACACCTGTGGCAATTGTTATACAGAAAAAAGTATTTCGAGCCTTGAACTAAAAACAGGGAATCAAGTTTAAGCCTTGATATAATGTCTAAGCATAATTCTGACCGGTGACATCTTGTGTTGGATATATGAGAACCGGTGGAGGTATTTTAGTAGACGTTAACCACAGCTAAGAAAACTTACTTTCCCAAGTCCTCGTCTTTAGACAAGTCATCATCAGAGTCTTCCTCGTCGGAGGAGGAACCCGCCGTTGGTGGTTGCCATGACGACAGTTTCTCCATCTCCTGTCGGCGCGTCTGCTCGGCCTGGGCGTCCTCGTGCGCCGCTTCCTCGTCATTCATCAGGCGAAACAGACCCTTACCCAACCGCACTGACTGCATCAGGGACCTGGGGAGAACCACAGACATAATGATAGAACAGACCCTTACCCAGCCTCACTGACTGCATCAGGGACCTGGGGAGAACACAGAGATTAATAGATAGAACAGACCCTTACCCAGCCTCACTGACTGCATCAGGGACCTGGGGAGAACAACAGAGATTATAGGATAGAACAGACCCTTACCCAGCCGCACTGACTGCATCAAGGACCTGGGGAGAACACAGACATTAGGATAGAACAGACCCTTACCCAGCCGCACTGACTGCATCAGGGACCTGGGGAGAACCACAGAGATTAAGCCACACAAATCTAATTTGTTGTTTCTCAGATTTTTTTCAGAAAAATATGATCATGAAGAGACAGGGCGAAAAAAAAACAGACCAAGGCACCCCATGATAGCCAGAAATGTTATAGTACAAACCATGAAGTGAACATACCAGCCTGGTTTATAATTAAAACAATAGATTTTGACCTTTTAAATTGCATTGTTACATTGAAAAACTTTATTAACAACTTAAGGAAGAAAAGGACAGTCACTGTCTTCAACCGTTGGGGCCAAAATATGTCTTTCATTGAGCATTTTGCAGTTGATTTAGAACCCAAAGTTTTTTGGTTTTTTTTTTGCAAATCAGAAAAAAACGGACAGGGCAAATCCGAGAAACAACAAATTAAATTGGTGTGGCCTTAGGATAGAACAGACCCTTACCCAGCCTCACTGACTGCATCGGGAACCTACAGACAGTGGAATGTTTTTTTTTTTAAATTCAGTATAAGGCCACACTAGAGCTGTGTACCGGTACGCAGTACCGATACTGTACCGGAAAAATTGATTAGGTACAGGTCCAAAATACCTAATCCCTCAGTACCGGTACTGTACCTAAAAAATTTCACACCAATTTTATGCCTATATGTGACCTCAAATGTGTAAATAGCTGGTCCACAATGGGTCTCTGTGTAAGGACAGTGTGTTCATGAAAATAAAAACATCTTAGTTTTGCCTATATTTTATCTGAACATTCGCCATAAACAAAGAATAAACCTTAACTATCGAGTTTATTAATTTTTTTTTGTTATTGAAGGAGTTCAAAAGAGCATATAAATTGGTCGAATTGTTCAGGTACAGGTTCAGGTCCGGACCTGTACCTAAACCTGTGTACCTGTACCTGTACCTGTACCTAAAATTTGTTTAGGTACACAGCTCTAGGCCACACTGATTTATAATAAAATTCATGGACGACAATTCTGCAAGTTCATCATCTGCTGCTTCTTACCTCTGTTTCTTAAACTGGCTGTTGAGACTGTTCAGCTCCTTTTTCTGTTTCCTCAAGACAAACTGGGCAGCAGTCTGCGATGAAAAAGAAAAAAACAACTTGTTACTTAATATAATCTATATTTATCAACTGTAACAACATGTTGTGACTGTATCTACCACATGACTTTGAACAGTCATACATGAAACTATCACATATTACAGTACGTAGTCAGATATCTCATTAACAACCCTAAAATAAAACTACTTCAGAATCTTTCCCCATGCCTTGAATAAGAGTCTGATTCACTCTCACAAAAGCAACTCAGAATCCTTAACTCCTACCTACAGCAATGAAAAGATACTAATTACAAAACAATCCTCATAAATTGAAAAGAAACCTCAGGCAAAACCCTAGAGACTGCCTGGTGTCCTGCCATTTTGATCCTTGCGTCACACCCTGAACTAAGATCAGTCCATATTCAGCACATGTGACATAAGATACCGACTGAAGACTCTTGTTCCAGATGCATCTAGAAGAGAATTTCTTATAAGGCCATACCAATTTAATTTCTAGGTTAACGGATTTTTCTAGATAAATAATGGAGCGGGCGGGCGAAAAAAATAAAAAGATAAAAACATGCCTAGGCATCCTATTATGGCCCAAACTGGTATAATAGGAGCCATGTAGTCAACACACCAGGCTGGTTCAAAATTCAGACAATGAATTTTGAACTTTTAATGAAACTACAGTGTATTGAAAGATGGACTAACTGTAACAATTAGGACGAAAAGGACTGTTTTCAACTGTTCAGGGCAAAATATGAGTATTTTGCAGTTGATTCTGAACCAGAATTTTTTTTTTTTCAAATCAGAAAAAGATGAAGCAGGCGAACCGTTAACCAAGAAATTAAATTGGTGTGGCCTAACAGAACCCCATGTGAAGAGAATGATAAGAGATGCTTCAGTGCTACCTGAGGAGTGGATTAAGATTGCCAAGATAGGGTCCTTGTGTGTGTGTATGAAGGAATGCATCCCTTTCCTCCGTATCAACCTGTTTTCTTTTCTTAATTATAAACTGTTGCAAGAAACAACCAGAAGGAAATGATCTAAACTTAAGCAAATTGTCAAGTGCAGGTTTGGTATGAAGTTACTTATGAATGTGGGGTTGTTTCTTTGACATGCTTTTGTGCACATGGTGGAAAGACAGACCGATTATATTATTGTCAGACTGAAAACTGTTTGTCATGGTGTTGGAGGCTGTGGTTTCCATAGTGACAGAAATTCTGAGCTCCTATTGGACAGATTATCATAGTGACAAAAGAATCCTGAGCTCCTATTGGACTGATTTTCATATTGACAAAGAATCATGAGCTCCTATTGGACAGATTATCATAGTGACAAAAGAATTATGAGCTCCTATTGGACTGATTTTCATAGTGACAAAGAATCCTGAGCTCCTATTGGACTGATTTTCATAGTGACAAAGAATCAGGAGCTCCTATTGGACTGATTTTCATAGTGACAAAGAATCCTGAGCTCCTATTGGACAGATTTTCATTAGTGACAAAGAATCCTGAGCTCCTATTGGATTGATTTTCATAGTTACAAAGAATCCTGAGCTCCTATTGGACTGATTATCATAGTGACAAAAGAATCCTGAGCTCCTATTGGACTGATTTTCACAGTGACAGAGAATCCTGAGCTCCTATTGGACAGATTTTCATTAGTGACAAAGAATCCTGAGCTCCTATTGGACTGGTTTTCATAGTGACAAAGAATCCTGAGCTCCTATTGGACTGATTTTCATAGTTATAAAAAATCCTGAGCTCCTATTGGTCAGGACTGATTTTCACAGTGACAAAGAATCCTGAGCTCCTATTGGACTGGTTTTCATAGTGACAAAGAATCCTGAGCTCCTATTGGACTGATTTTCATAGTTATAAAAAATCCTGAGCTCCTACTGGTCAGGACTGATTTTCATATTGACAAAGAATCCTGAGCTCCTATTGGACAGATTTCCATGTGACAAAGAATCCTGAGCTCCTATTGGTCAGGACTGATTTTCGTAGTGACAACCAATCCTGAGCTCCTATATATATTCATTTTTTTGGTAGTTCTAGGAATCGAAAGGGAAATCAATGATTTTCTTGTGTTAGATGTGTATGGCCAGTCAGCCCCTGACAGTGAGATATTGTGTAACACAGACTAGAAGAGACAGAAGAGACAAGACAAGTGACAAACATGGCGAACCCTTCTCTGCTGCTGCTGTATCTGTTCTTCTGCATCCTTTAGAAGCTGCTGTTCCCGTTCTTGCTCTTCCTCCCTCCGTTTATCTGCCAAGGCTCGGTCCACTGCCTCTTGCTGGAAAAGAAAATCATAATGACTTAATCAGTTGTAGTAAAATGTTACCTGTAACTCTTTTTTTGCTTGAGCCTTTTGAAAGTTTGTATCTTTTCATCATTAGATCGTGATGGAATTAATAAGGGAGACAAACAAACTACAGGTTACATGATAATAATCAAAATACATGTCTGAAAAGATTCCTCAACAAATAAAATTGAATAGTCATTATAAATCTGTTATGAAGAATTGTGTATATTAGAAACATGAATTGTGTGACTGTGAAAGTTTTCAATCCAAAATTATTGACTCCATGGCGATACTTTTAAAAGAGTATAGTTCGAATCAAGGTGCTAAAATGTTGCATTGGGTAGAAATTTTTGGTACACCTTACTTCTAAATACATGTAACATTTGATGACTTCTGGAGGTTCACTTTTAGGACACAATGTTTGAAGTTTAAACTCACAGTTTTTATTTCTTGGAAAATTAGTTTTAGCTGACTTAGTGACTACATCTCATTCTGTAACATAATCTTCCACCTTGTTCAAACTTCTTATTTCAGCCTCAGTGATTGAGCAAATAGCAACCAATCAACAGTGTTCTGTCATTATTGCCAAGTGAGGGACTGTGGAAAAAGTTCGGGATGGCCCTACAGAAGAAATTCAGTTGTTAACACAACATGATGCGTCGGGTGGTGTAGTGGTTAGAGCAATCGACTATGAAGCGGGGAGACCCGGGTTCGATTCCGCGTCGTACCCTCGACATGTCTGAACATGCGCCCGACGTTGTGCCCTTGGGAAAGGCACTTTACATGAATTTCCTCACTCCACCCAGGTGTGAATGGGTACCTAACTTCGGTTGGGGAAAGTCGTATTGAGGTCACCTTGTGGCGCCGAATGGCAGCCGTATAGACCCTTGCGACAGTTCCACAAGAAATAATTGTAGAACAAATATGTGTATCATGTGTATTATTTGATTATTGTAACTTTGTCATTTGTATTGATTATTACAATGTATGTGATACCCTGCATCAATTCAGCCGTATAAAGGCTGCGACTGCACGGGTACTGTTTGGACAATAAAACCATTCTTTTTTCTTTAACATAGACGTCTGTATTCAAGAATAGAATTACGAACATTTTCCTTGAATGTTATGAAGTTAATTTCTGCAATTATTGGTAGATGAAAATTACCTGAAATAACACTAGCCACAAAACATAACCTTCTTGGCAGACGTGAAAGAAATTAACTTTAATTGCAGAAAGACATCCTAACTTGAAACTGTCCCAAACCTTTACCAGAGACGAAATAATTATTTTTACAAGCTCCAAGTCATCTGAAACCAAAAACCTGCCACAAGTAACTGAGTGCCTTGAAGGAGGTCCCCATATTGTGCCCCTTTCTTTTGAAATCACATCACGGGGCGCGGAACGGTCTATACAATGAGAACTTTACCGTGACAGTTCAGTGATCGTGAAAGGGTTCAAAGCACTGCGTTAAGTAATGGTGGAACCCTCCATGGAGACGTGCTTTAGCGGTGAATACACCGTGGCGGATTAAGTAGCTTGTATTTACTCTAAAGCACAATTACTGAATTAGAGAAGACTGAATGGAGCTTGGATTAGAAGAATAAGTCCATCTAATGCGACATTGCAGGAAATCAAATATGAGATTTTTTTTTACAGTGATGACTGACTAACTACATTGTACTTACATACAATTGTGCCTATGCAAAAGCCAGAATTCCAAAATTACAAAGACAATGTCTTTTTCCTTATTTTATGTCTTTTTAACATCATGGTTAAAGTTTGAGTACAACTTCTTATTCTTTTCCAAATTATTCTATAACATCTGTGTCCATTATATCACCAGGGTCCAAAATATCGCCACCTTGAGAAACAGTGTGCTTAAAGATATTTTTACTGCAACATACCTCTGAGGTATGTACATGTACATTTGATGTGTGAAGGAGTGCATGCCAAAAGTATGTTGCAGTAAAAATATCTTTAAGCACACTGTTTCTCAAGGTGGCGATATTATGGACCCTGGTGATATTATGGACACAGATGTTATGTATCAACCTTTCCTTGCAACTTCTAATAATAAAGATTCCTTCTCTTACTAGCTAATATGATTATTCCATAATTTGTTGGATTCTTCTAGAAAAATTTCCTTTGAGACTATTAAGAAGGCATGTTTAGTTACAACTATACGAAAGAAAGAAAAGAGACTGCTCAATTCAGTACAATGTATATCCTGGTTATAGAATTGGAGCCTTCTAAAACTTGCTAGTAAAATAGTACTAGACAGTAGTGGTATGTTATATAGCAAATGTCAATCATTCTTTTTCAGAACAAAAGAATATTCTTTGGATTTACGCACTACATTTTTGTCCTTTGCTTTAGGTTACACACTAGTGACAGTTGTATACGCCAACTGTCCGCATACTTTTTAATGAGCATCACGCAACAAAACCCTCGCAATGTCGCCTACACAACGCGAGATGTCAGGACGAAAACACTCTGACACGGCTTAACGGCTTTGTGAAATGTTTACCACAAACATCCTGGCTATTTTGTCAATATGTACACAAGCTTTTGTAGACAGTGTTCATTATGTTCACCTGTACGCTATCTAGGTAAGGTAGTTAATGAATTAACGAGCCTTCAATTATATAGATATTGGAAAGGGAAAACAAAGTGTACTCGTCAATATTTTGCTGATTTTTCCTTAAAATTGCGCACTTACATTATACAAGTTGCGAAATATTAGCCTCCATAGCATGCCAAACACTGGGGGTTTTGGGGTCTTCATGGTCTTTGGGAGCTTTTATGTGCTATTTTCTGATTGCATATAGACAACATAGCCGGCCTGGTGGAATTACTCCCGTTTTTTAGAACTGGGCTAATCAGAAAACAGCCGAGCGAAGACCACCAAACCCCCAGTTCTATAAGCCTGCTACCGAGGCTAGCGAAATATTTAATACCCTGAAAAATGTGTCTAAAGAGATTTTGAATGCAACACTCCCAGTATAATATGCAGTTCCTAATAAATAAGAATATGATATGAATCTTTATTGCATGTTCTTGCCCAGATGGGCATATAATAATATCTAAACTGACAGGTGCATACCTAGGATTGCTGTACTAGAGATATCTCATCACTATTTTTTCAAAGTGGCAGAATATGAAACCTGGTAAATATATGTTGACGAAGGTTAGTAGCAACTTAGAATTATAACAATTATACATTTATAAGGAGATCCAACTTGGAAAAAGTCATCAAAAGATATTCTGCTGATTCAGAAAAATAACTGAGAAGGGGGGCCGGGGTTGAAGAGGTCGGGTTTTACATAAGGGGGTTAGTGAGTGTGGATTTGGATTGAAGGGGTTTAACCCTGGATTTGGATGAAATTATAGGGGGGTCAAGTCGCTTGGATAGAATTTTTAAGGGGCTAAGGCCCCTGGATGAAGGGGGTCAAGGCCCTTGGATACTAACGAAAGGGGAGTCAAAAAGTAGAAAATCCAAGCTCTTCAACCCCCCCCCTTCAATTTTTTTTTTTGGAACAGTTTTCAATGCAACAATATTTTTACCAGGAATATTCATTTTGCTGGCTGCAGTGACTTTTCTAACTGCTAAAATGGACCGAAACCTGGTGCATTTTAATCTCTAGTTTTACCTTCCCATTGTTATACTGTACTAACACTACAAGCTGGTCAGATATAAGTACATTTTGTAAATCCACCATTCTTGAGTTAATGGGAAACACAGTCCACTCATATGACAGTAAGCTACTGGTCTTTGTGCAGAATACTTTTAAGTCTAGGAGGATTTTCTTCAGATTCACACTCAAAATAGCCTGAGTACATGTTTTCAAAATTTATCCAGTTGTTTCAAGGAACTTAGGTAACTTGAAGTTACTTTCATATACTAGTATTATTACCTGAATGTCTAACCTTCATTGATGGATTTTAGTGTTTCAAATCAGTGCAAGTTAAATGGGGGCCCGCAAGCCCTTTTCCGTAGAGCGTAATCGGCCGTTTTAATTCTACGTAATGCGTTGTAGCCACTTGGAATTTATCGTAAAGCGTAATCTAGAGGTTTCCGAATTCAGCGTAGAGCATTGTTGGGACCCCCCTTGCAGGCCCTCTTAAATGATGTTGCAACTGTGTACAATCAAGTCGTTAGTAAAAACAAAATCTGTTTTAATGTTTGGATTGGCAACCCACTGCCCTTGTGGCCTCAAAAAGGCTATTAGACGACCTTTACTTTTATATTTTACTTATAATTCTTATTAGATACCATCAACTGTTTGCAGTATGTGTATGTGTACATTGTGTAACTTGCCCTCCAAGCTCCCAAAACTCCCAACCAATCAATACAAAGAGATTTGATTTAAATCAGGGCTCGAAAGACCTTAGTGCACCCAAAATTGGAGTTGTGCACCCAATTTTTTTCTGAGGATGCACTGGTGCACCTAAATATTCTTGTAAGTATTTTTGTACATATTAAATGTATAAATTAGTATATACAGGATATTCCTGGCATCTAAGTGTCAGAAAAAAAATAAAACCTTTGCCGTAGTACTTTAAGATTTTGAAGTTAGCAGTTAGTAGTTTAACTTTAAGATTTTTAAGTTAGCTCCCATTTTAGATTCAAGCTCAAAAGAGGAGCAGTAAGATCTGTAATTAGGTTTTGTTATATATGGTGCAGTCAAAATATTTTCTGTGCACCTAATTTTTTAGGTTGGGTGCACCAGTGCACCTATTCCCAAAAACGAATTTCGACCCTGTAAATTGACTGACAACTTTAATTACTACAAACAACACTGTAGGGTGCCTGTTGTAATTCCAGGTTAGAACTAGAGTTCCACGATCTCATACCTTCGCCAAATGATGTTAGCTTTTATGATTAAGAAATTATATATTAATCCGGGTATGCAAATAGGATCCTCAATTGCATGAATTATATCTGTTGATCATATTCTCCACCAAAAGACAGTCTTATCTTAACAAGGAATGCCATGATGACATTTTCTCATAAATTATGCAAATGAGGTCCTTATTTGAATAAGTCATGTTTAATTATGTTCACCTTAACTTAACTTTTAAACACCCAAGTATAAAATTCCAGGCAGTTACCACTATGCAATTATAATATTTTCTCATTAATTATGCAAACTAAGTCTTCATTTGCATAATCGATATCTGCCTGTGTTTCTCTCATTCTTAATAACATATGTCACAAGCTTGAACTTCCTATTATGGAATGCAGCTGATAAATAGAATTTCCTCATTAATTATGCAAATTACATCCCTATTTGCATAATTGTAATATCATTATGTCAAGCATCACTCAAGCTACCTACATACCAAAAATCACGATGATCCATCGATCGGTTCTTGAGTTATCCCCCTTTAAACATTTGTCCATTAAACCCCCCTGCAGTTCTAGAGCAAGCAACTAGGAGGCGCAAACTCATGTCACTTTATCCCCAGCACAAGAGCTATCTACCATCCAAATTTCGTCACCCTAGCATGTCTGGATCATGAGATATCAAAACCGGAAGTTCTGCTGCAGTACCATGACAAGCCGCCAGGTGGCCCAAAATCTAATCATTTTGAGGTCTCATCAAGACCTACCCACCTACCAAGTATCAAGACAATCCATCAAGACCTTCTCAAGTTATCGTGTTGACAGACACACACACACACACACACACACATACACGAACGCCCCTGAAAACATAACCTTCTTGGCGAAGGTAATAACTGCTTACACAAACACAATTATGAAACAGTCTATAAAGGTAGGTTGACCTCATTTTGTGCACAACAGGTTGCTAGACAACGGTGAGATACAGTGTAACACAGTGGAATTACGTATACTGTAATTCACTATGTTCACAGTAGCAAAATGTCACGGTCTGAGAAAAGTGGACATGTTCACAGAACTTTTTTTCACAGTGGCAACAGGTGCAGGAAAAAGAAAGTCCATTTGTTAACTGTGATGAAAAAATCAGGAATTAAAGTAGTAGGTGTAAATCTGTCATTGCTTCAAACTTGTTTTGCAGAATTTTTGTTAACAAGGGACGAAAGAAAAACAAGTTAAATATCTAAAATACAGTTGGAGTCTTCTCATTCTGTAAACCTATAGCTATGAACATAGGTATAAGTTTTAAACCTTCCTTTTTTTTGCACAATATTCATACCTTTCAAGAAAACATGCCTGAATCCCATGGGATTGTTTGTTTACTAAGATTTGGGACCATTTTGAACAGTTATTAAACATGCAGCCTATAAATTCTAAGTTTTTGAATACAGTTGTCAGTTTCGTTCAAACCTTCCTTTTCAAGTGCCCTTCAGGACAAGATGTTGGAATCCCATGCGAGAGTTTGTGTAAAGTTTGCGGACCGTTTTTGCGGCGTCACCTGGCCAAACACGGCAAAGCTTTTACAACGGAAGTACCTTAAAAGCGAGCACTTCATTCTCACGCTGCGACACTTCTTGTCGTGTCGCTCCGGCTATTACGCAAACATTTGTGCTGGAACTTTGCTCTTGTTTGGAAAACATGCCTCTCGGTTTGAGAGGTATCCAGGAGATTTGTGCATGTGTGTTACTGTGTGGAGTTTGGAACTTGTAAACCTGGATTTTACAAAGATTAGCATGAAACTTCACGAAAGTTCACAAAGCTATAACCTTGCAATTTTTACCATTAACACAAGTAATTTCTTTAAAAGATAGAGAAAAAACGGATATGTTAATAAAGGCTAATATATCCAAACAGATTGTTACATAGTACAAAATCAAACGACTGGACAAAATTCTGAAACATTTAATTTGTAGTCTATATATATTACTAGTAGTTGCCTGGTTCATTTTGTATTAATGTAAGGACATGAAAGTTTTGTTTTAAAGCAATGAAAAACACACAATTTTATAGCAACTGCTTTAGATTTATTGCTACAGTGAACTGAATGTTTTTCTTGTCATTATTTACCTAGTATAGATTTCTGCACCAACTTGGACTCCTATTGCCTGGTGGGGCCTTAATACATGTAATCCCTATCTTTACATGGGTGTTAAGCTTTGTCAACATTGTCACCAAAACCCGGACCATAACAATCAGAATTTCTCGCTGTTTTTCCACAGAGATTTTGTCCAGAAAATTGGGCTTAGAAAACAAACTTTGAGTTTGACTCCTATTCCCTGGTGAGGCCTTAATACATGTAATCCCTATCTTTACATGGGTGTTAAGCTTTGTCAACATTGTCACCAAAACCCTGACCATAACAATCAGGATTTCTCGCTGTTTTTCCACAGAGATTTTGTCCAGAAAATTGGGGTTAGAGAACAAAACCTCCATGACAATTAGAATTTTTTGCTGTTTTTCCACAGAGATTTTGTCCAGAAAATTGGCGTTTAGAAAACAAAACCTCCATAGCAATTAGAATTTTTCGCTGTTTTTTCACTGAGATTTTGTCCAGAAAATTGGGGTTAACGTTATAGAAAACAAAACCTCCATAACAATCAGAGTTTTTTGCTGTTTTTCCACAGAGATTTTGTCAAGAAAATTGGGCTTAGAAAACAAAACCTCCCACCTACACACGCACTGGGTCCATGCGGTGGGAAACATCGTGTTACAGTGTAACAGGTTGTTTTGGATTTAGCGGTAATTTGATCGTGGTTTACGTGCGGAAGGCAATTGTCACCTGTATAGCGTACTTGTAAAGGGAACACAAAGGAGAAGGGAGGGCAAGGCTGAAGTCACGTAAATTCAACAGACTTTTTTTACCACGTTGTTAATTGAGCTAACATTTTGCATGGATATTTTAAGTGGTTATAAATCAATGTTGTAAGATGTATAAACATATCCAAAAATGTTACATTGATCTACTGTGTCGTAAAAAAGGCTTCAAAACATATATTTATGCTTCTATAAATTATTGTGTATAAGAGATTGTCCTGCACTTTTGACTGCAGAGTTCTTTTTATATTTCTCCAAGGCGATGTGCTAGATGTTTTAAAGTCTTTCTATTCTAACTGATTTACTCAGATAATAATGGCTGCATAGGTTTCATTTTCAAGCTTTCCCTGAACATTGTTGGCGTGAAAGACAAGAAAGTGTGACTAATTCAGTTTTCCTGTCTTCTAATTTCTTTGCCTCAAATGAGTTGGAGCTAATTTTCTACCAGGTGGTTAAAGGACACAGTAGTATCAGTGCAAGTAATTACTGTGTCTGTTCAGTCTCTTTACTAACAATGGCATCAGATATGACATCTGGATGTATTGTAGAACCAGAGAGTAAGAATTAAGGATGATAATAGAAAGCTGTCGGTTGGATCATTTTTATACCTTACTGTTTAAAGCTTTGTTAGTTCACAAATTGTGAGTTAGGACTAGACTACGTGTAGGCCTAGGCCCACCTTCAAAGTTTTTTTGGGCTGAAACTAGTAAAAGAGACATAGAAAATGAGTGTTACTAGTAAATTTGTCTGGTACAGGTAATTTTCCTTATACTGTTTCCTTAATTAAAGCAACTTTAAGTTATTTTCCTTAATATACAGTTTAACTTTGCTAGTTTACACAGCTAGGCACTAGGCTAGGTCCACCTTCTAGTTTTTTTTGCTGAAACTAGTGAAAGGGATAGAAAATGAGTGTTAGTAGTAAAATTTGTCTGGTACAGGTAATATATTTTCATCCTCTATTTGCGGAGAGGATGTAGGACTCGGGAGCTATAATAGGTTTGGTAACCAGGCTACTACTGTAAGTATGCAGAAAAGAAATATTTAGAGCCATGTAGTTTCTAACCTCTTTCAGCTGTCCCAAAGCTGACAAGATCAGTTTTCTCTCGTCTAAGTGGATGGGACCTCCCAGCTCCTGGTAGGGTTTATCGATACGCGAGCGGTAGCCCTGTCTCGTGGTCTGCTTCAGCCTCCTGCCATAGTTCTCGCGGAAAACCTCCTCTCTCGTTGGCGTCGTCGGGTTGTACACGGTCTCCGAGCGCGCCTGGAGCTTCAGGCCTTTTTGCGTCGGGATGGGGAGCGACTTGACCTGGACGTACGAGCGCGGGTCGTGTCGCGCCGTGCTGGCGGGAGCCATCATCGATTCCCGCGCCTCACATCCAACGCAACGAACGCAACCTCATCTGTGAAGGAATGACAGAAAATTACATCAGGTTTCGAACAAGGCACTAGGGGGCCCAAAATCTAATTATTTCGAGGTCTCATCAAGGAGGGCCTGCATGGGGGGGGGTTAGTGATTACGAATTACGCAAAATTTTCGCCACCGCTTACAAATTACGTTTAAGTCTCAGAGCTGATTATGACTTAACGATTTGCGGCTAAATGTCCTATTACGAATTACGTTGATTTTTGCAGAGGCTGCCTACGAATTACGAAGACTAAAAAGGCCTGATTTAACGCCTTACAAAAAAGGGCATGAAGGCCCTCATCAAGACCAAATATCAGGACAATTTTTCTAAGTCTTTTTATTTATCGTATTGACAGACAAACAGACACACATACAAACACTCCCAAAGACATGGTAAAGGTGTCTTATTTTTCAACTGACGATTATTTATCATTCATATTATGAAATATCATAAAGTGGCCTAATGTTGTATGATGATACCAATATAATTGGTTCCAATTTTAGAAAATCGATACAGATACAAAATCTGAAGGTACCTGGTACACACAGTTTCAAGAAGTGAATTATTATTTTGTCTCTGAATTAAGTATATTAAAATTTTCCACCCAGCCCTGACTGTTTTCGTGTTGATGAATAAAGTTAATTAAGTCAAGAACCAACCAATGAGATCAGTGTGGATTATCTATCGTGAAAAAGAATTTCCTTCCCCCATAAGAATTTCCTCTAAAGATTTCATCTCCCCTTCTAAGACATACTGTGTATGGAATTGAAAAGATGTCAAAACAAAGTGCCCCCCTCCCCCGACCTATCCAAAAGACGGAACCTTTCCACAGTTTTCTGTACCAAAAAGTTTACTTCAAGATTAACTGTACCATAACAGAAAGATTTCTCTCCAAAAGTCCTCAAGTTAAAAAGTCAAAAGTCGCCACGTATTCGAGTCTTTTCCCTGAAACTTGGAAGTTGAAAAGTTTTTTGGGGCTCCGCCATTTTGAGAAGACACGAATTTACAAACTTAAAGAAAATACTGAAATTAGTCTTAGATATGACCCCTCTGTTACTCTGAGCATAACACGAAGATAGACTTATACAGAAACGCTATCACTATCAGAAAATCGCAGCTAGCATGCTGCTAAATCGGTCAGTTTTGCAATGTTTTTGATAACGAGATATCGAGATCGTCTTGAGACTTACCGAGGGAGTCACGCTAAGGTCTCGGGGGAATATCGCAGGCTGTCCCGTCAACACTTCTTCCGTGCCTGCGGTGAAGGTCGCTCTTACTTCCCCACTTCACCTGCGTCTGTTATGCCGCTAGAATATACAATTTACGCCGGTACCCAATCGCTTGGTGGCCTGTAGTAGCTGAAGTGTTCTCGAAACTCGGTGCCACCATTTGTGACCGACACTGATTCAGTACCACAGGGCGAACTAGAAACCATTGGAACACCTGAGTAGCTCTTCCACCATGTAAACTCCCTCCCTCCGGCTTGAAGACGAACTTGTCTTCAATTTCCAATAATGAATATTCCTCCAAAGATTAGATAAATTGTACGGTCAGTATTACAAATGCTCTGATATGATATGATATGATATGATATGATATAGAAATAGACTTAATCATGTAATTTACACAAAGTTACTTTTAATCACTAAATCATACATTTTGATTTTGTAGCCCTTTCAAAAAAAATTATGCATCTAACCAGGGAATTAATTTCTTCATGTTTATTTAGTGCTATTTCGCTGCTTTATGGTCCAGCTTTGCAACTTCGGGCTAGATTTACTAAAAAGAAAAAGAAAATCTCAGCATATTGTCCCATGCAAACTTTATGCTGGTTCTAGTACTTCTATCTAGTTCGACCTACCCAGAGGGGGTGTCGACAAAGCCAGTAAGAGCTGATTGAAACGTCGCCTGGCAACACCAAACAAAGGGCGCACCTCCCGTATCGGACCAGCACTGAAGTCAGGTGTGCAAAACAAACCCCCGTCTTCAAGTGTTTGGATTTAATTTCCTTTTGTTAAGGCTTGTAGTTTTTCTGATTAACTAGATTGCTCCACCGTAAATAAGATTACGTCGACAGGATAAGGATTCGTCCGCCCATGCTTTCTTATATTACTAGTTACTACTAAGAAAAAGTTCATCCTATCTGGTACACAGTACGATACATTCCATATAAATTATTGTCATGTCCAACTACCATATTTGCTTACGTAGGCCAATTTCTGTACACTTTATTCCATAAGCGAGACCATATCATCAATACATGAACATATTGTAACCCATATACTGTATAGATAGTAGTTTGTAGTAAGTAATGTAAAGATAGTTTAATTTTGTAGTATTGTTGTCTTACTGCCACACATTGTACCATGTACGATTGTCGAGCAATAAAGTTCATTCATATAATCTTGTTTCTGCATGTCCTTAAATCTTAACTTTTATTCAATTTTCGATCGAACAGTCGAATTCATATTGATCGTTGAAGCGCTAGTGGGATTGATATACTGTTATTGACTACTGGTGATGCAAAAACATGGACTTATATATGAACATTGCCCTGCTACTTTCTAGAAAAATATGTACCAAAATCCAAGCAGAGGTTTGGGTTTTGACGTATTTTTTTGACGTGTTTCAGGCTTTTTATTGGGCTTTCTTTTTTGCACTTGCATGGCTGGCACAAAAAAAGGTACCAGTACACTGAGAAAAGAAAACCCGTTAAAAAATCCTATTAACACACAAAAAATAAGCCAGAGCCCATGTCTGGAGAGTACTTTTTGAAAAGTTTAGAGAATTTCTTTCAAATGAAAGTTCCGGTTGGGACACGAAGAGACTACTAGAATTATGAACAGAAATTTCGTGCTTTTTGCACACCACGTATATATATACGCTAAATATAAATGCACAGTATACTGTAGTCCATGTAGTTTATGTAACTAAAGCGTCATTTTAAAGAAGAAAGGCTGGGAATTGGAGAGAATATTCTGCCAAAGACAGGGAGTGTCTTAACCGTTACAAGACGTTTAATATTTTTTTTAAGTAAGGCCATGTTAATTTGATTATATGGATGACATCCTCTGGGAACCCCAAAACTGATGCGAGCGTGCGAATTAAAAAAAAAAGTTTGGCAAAAAAGTTGCTTTCATTATGAAATCTACGTGTTTATGAAGGTTGAACAAATGAGTATGGTATGGCGAATTATTTACTCTTCAAATTCATTTCTTTACATTTTCGTCGTGTTCTCTTGATTTTAGCATTCTACAACATTGGTACCGTTTTCCAATATTTTTTTTTGCAAGTTACGGTATATATTTGCTCATTTTGCAACTGTTTTGTACGATTTATAGTATGGTTGAAACCTTTTTTTTTTTTTGGAAACGGCCGAAAGTTCATGCGCGCGTGGATGTCATCCATATAATCAAATCAACATGGCCTAAAGATGCCGGAAAAATAGCACAGTACTAGTACACTACTCTCTCGCTTGTATACTGAAGGGTCTTGTTGCAGTATAAACCAATGTTGCTAGGTGGCGCTGTGAGACCGTATATGTTGCAACATGCAAATTGTAGTGACTTTTCTCGCACGTTGCTTTGAGTTATGGGTTCATTAACGTTTCATTTACAAGAATAAAAAAAGTAGCAAACGCACAAACAGACGGCATCAGACCAGTTAAAATATTCTGTTTTATTGCACAACCTACTGCTCTCAGTTGTTTGGAGTCCAGTTATGGAACTCTGTTCATGCGAGTGTACTAGCTAAATGTCGTGTTGCATACAATAATTGCTTTCGTATTCTCTTTAAGTTTCCAAGAGGTTGTAGTGCTCAATGTTTGTACATCTCTCGACCGATACTTACGATGCTAGACGCAGGAAATTGTGTTATTCCTTCATTAATAGACTTTACGCCACCAAGAATAGTATAATATGCTGTTTATTGAGGTCTGATCGGTCAACGCCACCCGGCTATATGATAATAGTGAATGAATAATAGATAACGTTAGCAATCATATTATCCTTTAATATTCCATGCTATGTTGCTCCGTCATTTTACCGCTTGTCTGTACAAAACATGGCGACATTATTTGTGTTTCCTCAGGAGTTATGATGATGCTGCATCTTTGTAACTGGGTCCACGTCTACGGCATGGTTCCTTCCACCAGGGACAAAACCAACCTGAGGTATTACTACAGTGAGCAGACCAAGGTGACGCGCGGAGGTCACTCCTACGATACGATCAGGAGCGGCAGTACATTCGGACATTGTCACTCACCTCTGATCAGGACATGGACGATACAGGTACAGCGCTGTTACCAGGACTTGCCATGGTTTACTGTAATGGAACTGAAGAAAACTAGAAGGGTAAATTTTGCAACGCCTGAAGGAGAGGAAAGAGGCCGCTGTGTGTCATATAAAGCACATGCCATAATTGCATTTTTGTTGGAATTAGAGAAAATGACGTACCTTCTATCGTTCCACCTTCTACCGAAGACTCTCCTACTCGCACGGTCGCATGCATTACCGAGTTGGAGAGTCTTCGGTAGAAGGTGGAACGATAGAAAGTACGTCATTTTCTCTAATTCCAACAAAAATTCAATTATGGCATGTGCTTTGTACTAGATAAATAATTCAAAACAATAGTTGACCAGTTTGTCGATATAATTTGTTGGAAATATTACATCGAGGAAGGGGGGGGGGTGGTCTTACGTCATATCCCTGCATATCCGTGACCGTTACTAGGCATTATGGGAAGTGTGAAATTGGTGATATCAGCACCAAGGACAGATACCAGCCTGGCTAATCTCCGAGCAGATGTTGGGAGACAAAGTCGTTTCAGTTTTCAGCTGTCTTTTTTGGTAGACCATTTCACCGAAATTTTCGATATGTCATTTTAAGGATGAAAACATTGTAGAATTGTTTTCCATTTCCAGCATGTTAACTTCATTTTCGTTGCAATAGAAAAAGTTATTTGACATGCATATGCGATGTATATCTGTATAATCAAAATGTGATGTTGTCTCAGTTTTACATTGTTAAACTTTATTTGTAGGGTCACTAGTTCGTCCAAAATCTTGAAAAAAAAGAGAACCCTTGATATATACCTACATGTTCTGGCCCTAATATTTTCCAGACTGTAATAAGAAATACAACATAATTTTTTCTTGACTTAAGCTACTTTATCTATAATAAGAAACACAAAATCTTAGCATGAAAGTTCATCTGAGTTGGTAAAGTACATACAGAAAATTAAACTCCGACTCAAAATGAAAATAACTCACCAGAAATTTCGACTGAATCGCTCAGTTTTCATCATATCAGCTTTATGACCCAAGTGCTGTGGACACGTGACTTTATATATTTATGTAATATAAATTTTAGAGAACATTTCATTGTGTAGTTGCTAATGATCCCTCTACCCGCTAATGACCCCTTTTTGTTTGCTCATCTGAGTGACTGACAAAGGCGACAGCCTTGTCCAAACATTTGTTTTCAGTTTCCTTCAATTATTTTGCCACTGCCACCTGGCGTCTTGTCTTGATACTGCAACTTGTGCAAAAGGACTTGAAAATAGAATCCTATATTAATACACATCATTTTCTATTCCCTTACTTTCTATGCCCTCACAGATAACACAGTAGACCTTTGATTACATTCATAATGACCGAATATTGTGGAAAAGTATAATAAGAATCAAAATGTGTCTGAAATGCTCAGTAACCAAAGAATCACCTTCAAATATCTTTTCGGAGAAATGGACTAATTATATCAGCCATTTTACTTGCCTGTATTGGTATATTGGTGTTATTTTGCAATGAACCTGAACTAATGCTGCATACAAGGTTCTTCAGTGCTGTTCTTTTTGTTTGTTTGTTAACAGTTATCCTCGAAAGTAAAACATTTACTGTAATATAATAGCTTTAAAGTATTCACAAAAAGATGGTAAATTTCAGTTACTTCTTCAGCTAAATTTCAGTGATTTCTGCAAAGCATTTGCTGTAGATTATATCCAAGTGTCCTTATTAGCTGCTAAAGCCGCCGTGTTTACCATTCAATTCTCGTAAGTCATATATCAGTATCATATCTCGACTTCTAAACGTTTGTAACATTAACTTTTCAATTGCATCTCTCTTTATTGATTCTGAGTAACAACAAACATAAAGCATCTCTAATATTTACTTACTGTTTTCAATTCCAATTTCCTAGGAATTATCACAGAATGAAACATGCTCTTGATGAATATATAAACAGGACATGGCATTGGTTTGTTAAATATATCTGCATATCAAAGTTTTGTGAAATGTAACCATATCGTGAACAACAAACTAGACGTTTTGTAAATAGACTGTGTAGGGAACATATATCTTTTTCTCTATATCTCTCTATATATCTATATCTTTAAATATCTATATCTAGATAGATAGATAGATAGATTGATTGATCGATTGATTGACTGACTGAATAACTCCTGATATTGCGTGTACATTTTTTTAACGTTTTTATGCTGTAACTAAAAGATCTTAGTCTTACGAGCAGTAATATACTTCCCTGCAAACAAGTATTCTTAACCAAAGGATTCAGAATTATGTGCAATATTATATGTCTTTGTGAGCGTTTTTAAAACAGATTGTCTGTAAATTGACTGCAATTCAGGGATATTTTTACTGCGATAGCTCAATAAAGATATCTTGAATCTGAATCTTGATTGATTGATAGGTAAAAGGGGGTTGTTATCAAATTTTTGTCAACAGTACTGTTTCCTGGTTATAGGTTTGTTTCGTTGTAAGACTAATAAATCATAGTCATCCTGATGTTCATTTGGTTACTGGCTCCTCGCTGGCAGTTCCTCGTGTTCAGAACTTGAACTCAAAGGTCTTGACAGAAAAGAAAAGTAACCGTTATTTAGAACTGTGGTTAAACAGAGTAAATGTAATAGACTGAACAACTAGGTTACTTTTTTATAAATAAATAAAAGAAACAATAATAGTGCCACTTCTTGACCATGTAGTGCAAAATCATAATGATATAACCTACCTGGAAACAGCCTTCATCTTCGTCGTGATCAGGAGAAACTGGTTTCATCACCGATGGGCGAGGGATCTTTAACTGTTGTGGATAAAGAAATTCAAAAACACAGCAAAGAATGGTAAGACAAATGAAAACATGCACAAACAACTACTAACAATAGAGGGTAAAGGTATTGAGGAATAAGAAACAACCAAAGTGTCATTCTATCTAAATGGTAGTCCCCAAAATAGCCCAGCTGAGGCCTACCTCTCCAGTCGGTATATTCTCCACAGTTGGGTTAAAGAAACGCCTTCCCCCGGATCTTAGGGAGTCCGTGTATGTGGGTGGCAACATATCAGCATCTACATGCTAAGAAAAATATCAAATATTCGGCACGACTGCCCTTGGACATTCGGAACATCAAACACTCAACGAAATTATAGAACATTAGGATATATTTCATAGAGTTTTTGTTTATCAATGTAGTTTGATCCCATCATCAAATTCTACGTATACGACAACACCAGACGACAAGAACGTCCCAAATTCACCATAAAAACATTAGAGGAAACACAAGTTTGAGTGACTCCAAGTGAAATGAAAATCAAGTTTCGTATGTATAAAGTTGCACACATTGTACGTTTGTGTTCATACGTAAATATTGTTCAATTTTCTGCACTCGGGAGAAAGTGAGGCTACTTTAAACGTTAACTCACGAAGCTAAAATGTTCATTTACCACAGGTGAAAGGTAGTCGTCCTGGTCTTCACTCAGGTCAGTGACCGGAAGGTCACGAAACGGTTGCTGTGCCTGTGAGGCGGTGTGGTAGTAGGGTAGGGTGACGGGAGGTGTGCTAACCCTGTACCTACAAGATTATTCATAGTTGACGTAAACCCAGTACCTAAAATTATGCTAAGAAATGATCAGTCAATCACAACAAAGGTAACGTAGGTTAGAGAATTGAGCTCAGCCACATAGCTGTATTAGGTATGGACTATTACAACGGCATGCCTACATCCCATGGTAGGAAAGGGGGTCTGAATCAGTATGTTTGATCATGAAAATACAATCCATGTTTCTATGGCATCTACAATATGCAGGGATAACGACTTTCACTCTGCATGGAAAGATCTCAAATTAAAAATCTCAATTCCCCATAAAAGGAAAAAACGTTATGCAAAGAGTTCATATAGAAATGTACGGAATGGGGAAAACAGTTAGGAGAAGGCAAGCTAGCGTTACCTCATTTCTTTTTTTGCCGAACGTCTGGACCTAATTTTGGCCATGCATACAGCCACCAGCAGGGCGACCACCAGCAACGCACACAAACATCCTGCTGCAATACCGATCACGTCCGCTTGGGTCAAACGGATCTGACATCGCTCCCCGCCGTACCAGGTGCCCTGCACTGCCGGGCAGCTGTTCATTGTAGCAAGCGGTATTCAAGGATGAAACGTTACACAAATTACACTATCTATTCATCACAGCAAAGCACAATACAACATAAATCTAGAAATCTATCACTTTCTAGGATAAGTTTGACTTTTGACCAACCTATAGCTATGACTTTCTTGTATGTATCAGTTTAAAATTCACTAATTATCTGTTGTGGTGGACATAAAAATCATCTTGACTATTATATTTTATCCGTGGGTAGTTTTGATACTTACGTGCATTTCGGTCCCTCTTGAACGTTGTACTCACAGGTCCCCGTGTTGCAGTAGTTTTCCTGACATAGGCACTCCGCTATGACAGCTCCAGGGTACGGCTCAGTCCGTGAACACACGCCCACCTCCCCACACTGCACATCCTGGCAGAATCCTCCAACCACTTGCTCCAACTCTACAGCAGATTAAACAAGAAATCGGATACTTCACACTCCCTGAAAGCAAGCAATAATTGGTTTTCTAAATTATCCATGCCCCTCTAATTCCTGTGGGCATTTGACCTACTGTCATTCTGCCTCCCCCCCCCCCCCAACCCACGTGCTCTAAACCTACTCAGTCCTGACAAACAGATGTACAAGCCCACAGCTCAGCCACCCAAAACAATGCTTCCGAATCGAATCTGGAAGTAACAGATTTTTTCTTGTCCTTCCGAGAAAGCGGTCTATAAATACTAAGCCTGTCCTCAAGTAGCAGTGTAAGCGCAAACAATAATGAAGATCATGTACTATATCCGCATGTACTATAAGAAAACAGAAATAATCTCTGACGCTTTTGGTGCAGAAAGTAAGTGGAGCTTAATTATAACCAAATTAGAAGTTAAGAATACAAGATGACACACATAAGCACACACAAACACACACACACACACACACACGCGAGCACACACACACACACACACAAACATACATACACACACACACACACACACACACACACACCGACACACATACACACACAGAAACAAACACACACACACACACACACACACACACACACATTCACACACACACATTCACACACACACATTCACACACACACACATTCACACACACATAAGTACAAGCACGCACACACACACAGGGAAACAGAGAGCAACATTTTCATACAACATTAAGTTTACAAAAAGATCTAGAGAGAACTCCTTTTAACGGCTATTACTGCTACTAAATAATAATGATCACATGCTGCTGGTTGGGCATTTTACGATGGTCATCCAACAGTACCCACCTTCTTCCGTAAGCACAGTCGGCTGCAGGCTGTCACTACTGGTGACCTGGAGTGTGGGGGCAAACCTGCCGCTAGTGATCGCCTGCTGAAGGTTCGTCTTAGCCATATCCTGGATGATGCTGTCAGGTTGAGAGTCTTCCACGACAAAAACCGCTGCGTATCTGGCTTTTACACTGCCAGCGCTAAGGTTAACAGAACAAAGATGTAACAACATTCTTTGCCAAAAAGCAACGCGTGCAAGCATCTACGTGTAACACTCCTCTCGCACTACCACAGCCAGGTGCAGGTCCCGGACAAGACTATCCACTTGGATTCAACAGCGGCCAGAGTTAGACTCAAGATCAACAAGAAGAAAACAGATGTCCTAAAAGTTAACGCCACCACTCATCAACATCCCAATCACATGCAGAAGGCAGTGAGACAGTCGAGGTGGAGTCCTTTGTGTACCTGAGGAGTGTGATGGACAAATGGAGCTTCTCTGGCCGGCTACCTTCTCTGGCCTATTAATACCATTTTTAGGCCGATTTCTACGATTATTCAGCCCGCAAAAGAAGTCTGGTGAAGACTACGGATTTACGAGTCATAAGGAGAAGAAGGAGGGACCGTCCTGGAGGCGACATACTGAGCGGGAGCTGATCATGATAGGACTTGGGATGTGCTGGGTAAGTAAGCAAGTTTATCGCGTGCAAGTACATGTATGCGATAACAGCCCAGAAATGTTTTGGATCTGGTAAAAAAAAACGGTCTAGGTATCTAGAGGTAGCATGGTTCCTAGTACATTGTATCTGAAATTTCTATGAATTCGAAGCATACATATATGTAATGAAATGGAACGTAATGTTTGCCCGTACTTACACAAATTGAATGATGATAATCTCGACGAACCCAGGAATTCCGGTGTAGATGACAGCGAGCTAGTGGAAATTATATTACACAAGATGTTAACATCAGTGATTTTGAACAAGTATGCAAACTACACGACCTATATTGTCCTATGAAATTGGTTATACATGGCTAAGACTGGTGTGTTACGCCGAAAGGCGGTTATACCGGCTATACAGATACAGATACAGAAGACTATTGTGCAATAACAGGGCGTCTGATTTAACAACTAACCCCGCGGGTCAACTCAGAGCGCTACTATCTTCTCAGGATTAGAGTAATGAGACGACTTTTTTTACAGACCCAAGTGACATGTATTTAACAACAATTTTGTACGTTTTACACGCTTGTACGTTTGGGACCGTACTGTAGATACAGTTCTCTCTATCCATGTAAATATTTTACGTTTGGGAACGCATCTATAGCAGCGACACCTGTGCTGTACTTTAACCAGTCCGAATAACCATGAGGAAGGTGACAGACGGTCACCAAAACTTCGGCATATAACGTTATAGAACAAGTTGGTTGTCTAAAAGGAGTCCCTTTCTTCAGTGACTTACCAACCTGATGAAGCTATTCAGGGATCATCTCAGGATATTAAGCCTAAAGACTTCAGGTTGGAAGAGTTAGTGGCAAGTGGGAATGCCACATAAACAAGGTAAAACTCACTGATGTTTTCAACTGCGATGATAGTTCCATGTACTCTGCTGAAGTCTTGTCATTGTATTCAGCCCTAAACGTTTTCTCCATCGTTATTTGAGCTGGTACAAACTTTCGCGGTTTTGCTATGAAAGACGAAAATTCACACGTCCGTTATAAAAAAAAAACATAACACACATAATGACATGGATTGGTACAATATATCGCGATCTTCAGGTGAAATTATAAAATTAAAAAAGACATCATTGTCTATAGTAAAATGTAACAGCCATTCCTGCCAACAACATCTAACGTACAAAATAAATCAGGAGATGATATTAAAATGAAATAAGGTTTTGAACTCACGCGGTTCTGAAGTGACAGTCATTGATGTTGGTGTTGTTGGAGTGCTTCCTTTCGTCACTGCTATTACTGTGGTTTATATAAAGATTTGATATCATTTCCATTTATTTTAGATTTACTATCTTTGCCATGGTTTGCAATATATCCCATATACGAATTATGGCTATTGTTCTATGGATATTGTATCTATTCACAGAAATTTTAGGACTTTTGTATTCGTATTTGTATTTATTGGCAATGATAATTGTGTTAATCTTAGGCAGGCTCAGCTGGTTGGGTCTGAACCACCAAAAGCACATTGTACAAAATGAATATTAGTAGATAAGACTCTAAGCTAAAATACAACTCCTACAATAGATGGAACTTGTCTTCAACACATCACTGGTTAATATTTATCAACACGTTCAAATATTTTCTCACCTGTACAGAAAGTTCCATTTCCAGAGTAACCAGAATAACATGTGCAGCTGTAGGAGCCGGGAGTGTTCGTACAGTTAGCGTTGTCATCACAGATGTCCGGGTTTGTTGCACACTCATCAAAATCTAGAAAACAATAGTCAGAAAATTCGTCATATCAGCTCTGATGAAGATGACACTGTATGGTCATTGAAACGTTGGTACGTTGACGTGAAGCAAAGAACTTTACAAATCTATAAACCACCAATGTCTGTAAAAGACTCAATGTTCTAGATACCGTATAGAATGCATAAATAACAAGGAAGGAATCAGAATGATAAAATCACAAGATGAGGATTACTTACCCGTACACGTTTTCCCTGTACCTGTATACCCAGCGTCACATGTACAGGTATAGGAACCGACAGTGTTGGTGCAAGTTGCGTTCCCATCACAATGACTCATTCCGTTTTCGCATTCGTTAATATCTGATACAAGAAAGAAATCACATACTCAAGTCAATAAAACTGAACACGCCTTATCGTGTTGATACTGAAGTCATAAGAACGTGTCTTCTAGGATTCTTCTGCAAAATAAAATGTTAAAATGTTAAAGCTAGTCATTATTACACCACGTGCCTCTTGCTCTCGATAGAAATAAATAAATAATAAAATATATATGTCTTGTGGAATTAAACAGTGCTCATACAGGTGTACAGAGATACACTCAGAATACACATCTTTCAGCTAAATTGTGTGTTTAATGCACACTTGCTTAAAATCTTTGCCATACAAGAAAAATAGCTCTCAACCTGTCTTAGGTCTTCCCAGCAAGTTGGTAGAACGTACTGCACTGCGCGAAATCCGGAATGTATTGTGCGTATAGCAGTTCGGCAGAATGTCTCATATAATATCGCATTTGCGCATATAAGTTTATGGTCTCCAGATGTTATGTTGGAAAAGATATCCTCTGTAACAGGCAAAATTCTAATGCACGGTGACCAAACATCTAACGAAAACCGTGAAAAATCAGGGTTTCGTGCAGGCGCTGACGAGCGTGCTGGTCTTCCCCAGCCAATACTGTATCAAACTATGAAAGAATCGTACTAACCTGTACAGACAGTTCCATCTCCAAAGTAACCAGAATGGCACGTGCAGCTGTAGGAACCGGGGGTGTTTGTACAGTCTGCGTGGTCATGACAGTTGTCAATGCCGTCCTCACACTCATGAACATCCACACAGTCACTCCCGAAGTAACCAGGCTTACAGGGACACGTGAAGGAACCGATAGTGTTCGTACACACCGAGTTTTCTGTGCAAGTATCTGTGCCTTGTGTACATTCGTGTTCATCTGAGGTATGGTAATCCAACTCGTTAGCATCAGTGACATAAAAAATCAAATGATTTCTGAACCGTTTTTTTCATGTATACTCACTAGCAGACACGAGGGATTTACTAATTAATCTTTGAGGCAGTGGCACAAATTGTATTTCTAGCTTGCATGGTAAATAAACAAAGAAGAAGATAATGTCACTTCTATTGCACCACTCATGACTTATGAGACTTAAAATAAGAAAATGTTATATAGATACATATATCAATATAAAAATTAAAGTAACCAAAGAGAGATGAGAAGGTGGCTGTTCTGGAAAGAGTTATAAAGCAAAACAAACCTCTTTAAAACGAAATGTAAAACAGAATTTAAACTAATAGAGTTATTGTGTGACAGAACAAAATCGCATATGTTTTGTGTATTACACCAGCTAACCTTCACAATTCGTCCCGCTGCCTGTAAAACCGGTATTGCAGGAGCATACATAGCTGCCCTCCGTGTTTCGACATGATGCCTGTTCATGACAGTCATCCTGTCCACTTAGACACTCGTCCACATCTGGCAGGGAAGTAGGCTTAATATTACTTATCATTGAAAACATGTAAAGGCTACATACAAATAACACAGGGTTCTAATTTGTCATACACATCACACATATCTAAACAGTTAAGGTCAACAATATTAAGTGATCAATAATGAATAGTCTAATGCGTTGTGGAGAAACGCTACTGTTATGTACTTGCAATGGGCTAGGGTTGATTTAACTTACTTTTTAAATAATCCACCAAAAATGAGCTTACTCGTATCGTCCTAATGTTACATAATGCAGTTTTGGGCAGCGAGTACGATTTAACCCTCAAACCACCGTATGGGGCAAAAACTGACCCCAGGCGTATATGAATAATAATAAATAATAAGATGAGGATTACTTACCCGTACACGTTTTCCCTGTACCTGTATACCCAGCGTCACATGTACAGGTATAGGAACCGACATTGTTGGTGCAAGTTGCGTTTCCGTCACACTGGCTCACTCCGTTTTCACATTCATCGATGTCTTAAAGAAGAAATCCAAAAGAATACGAACTATAGTCAGTCATGTTAAAACAAGCATTCCTTGTCATATTCCGAATTAATCTGCATTAATGGTTGTGAAAACTAGGCATTGGTAATACTACACGTACGCAGGCGTATCATTATATGGACAACTACGTGCCCAGCTATCTTTGATAACTTATACTAACCAAATCATACTCCAGAGGTATTACAATTTTATTGCTGAATGCTTCCCGAGCTACTGATTCCATGTCTTAATTACACTTTCGAATTCCAATGTTCATTGATAACGAAATCACCAAGGGACTGTCATCCATGTGTAACCGTACAGGGTTAGCGTATCTCATGATCATGTACCTTCACATGCTGCTCTGGTGCCTTTGTACCCATCTTTGCAGGTACATTCAAAGCTGCCCAGGACGTTTGTGCATACTGCTTGCTCATGACAGTGTGATGAATCACCGGTACACTCATCCACATCTATGGATGATAGCATCAAACATACAAATTATGATATAAAGACTAACCTTTAACTACCAGCAATACAATGAATTCTCGGCTGACTCCGTAGTAGCGGGTCATATGTGCCAGATAACTTGTGTCGCCCCCCGTCTCTGTTCAGGGTTTAATCTTTATTTCATCGCGGCTTATACCAACACAGATGAGCTTTCATGCCTATTGTTTGAAATGTTTTGGAAAACTATTGATCATTGTTATATATTTTTGTAAGCAAGAACGACAGAACGTACCGGCACAGAAGAAGCCGTCTCCTGTATACCCGTCCCGACAGGTGCAGTTGAAACCACCGTTGAAGTTGAAACACTGAGAATTCGCACTGCAATTCTCCATTCGACTGCCGAATGTGCACTCATCGTAATCTGCGTGGAAATTTATACATACACTCAAAAAACAAAAGCTTGAAAACTTGCATGTAGTATAATGTTTTTACACCATGCAAAGCTTATACTTATTTTCTTACTCTCTAATGGTGATACTTCCACTCTGAGCATTTCTATGTACAAAAGCATATTTTTTTCCTGCGATGCCCTGTCATTTAAGGTTCGATACGATGATCTACCTTTAAAGTGATGCTTCTAGATTTTAGCTGGTGCGCCAAATTTGTTGGGACTGGGAGCACCGGTAAGTCAAAAAATCAGTCTGGGACTCTACCCGGACCCCAGCGTTGTAATTCAAATGTTTTTAAAACCGTTTCGGTTGAATTCAATAGATACAGTGGGGACCATAACATTCGTCAACCGTCACTGTCAAGGAACATGGTAAAGTATCTTGAGTTTGTACGTAATGCTTAGAGAATGTTAACGTACCTTCACAGGATGTCCCATTGCCGGTGTAGCCCTGTCTGCAGCTACAGGTGTACCCTCCCTGGTTGTTGTTACAGAAGGCATTAGGGTCACAGTCATTCAGGCTGCTATCTGAACACTCGTCAATGTCTGCCAAGAGGTGGAAAGAAATCATTTTCAAACCGTGCAATCAGAACATGGTGAAATTCTATCATAGTCTTGCCACGATTCAATTTACGTAGCCCAACCTAGAAACCTCTCCCTATCATTGAAAAAAAATTCCTGATATAGAAAATGTAGTAAATTCTCATGAGTGACATGGCACACAAGTAGTAATCCATCTAAAAAAATCCAAACATTGTTACTGTACGTATGTCATGATTAGTTCCATACTGGAGAATGCAGATGCAAGTATGATATCTCACCAGTGCATTGTCGACCATCAGTACCAATCATGTAGCCACTGTCGCAACCACACGTGTAACCTCCGTTTGTGTTGTTACACAACTGGTCGCAGGTATTTAGGGTGTTACTGGAACATTCGTCGGTGTCTAAAATTCAAACAACGTTACTACATGTACCTCAATATAATTTTCTATACAGAGATAAATCATATTGGGAAACAAAACATTTTTGCCATCATCAGAATCCTTCGAAACAAATCTAGTACGTGTTTAGAAAATGAAATAAATAGGCAAATCAAACCTCAGGTTGCTAATCACACCTACTAATTGTACATTAATTTATTTGAGGGCTTGCTTCTTTTGTGTGAGAGTAAACATGAAATATTGCTTTGATTAATTTTTGACATGAATCCATAGTCTAACAAAGGCGAGTTTCTATGTCCCTAGTACTGAACAGCTATCATCAGGCTTACCAGTGCAAACTGTGGCATCGATGGTGATGTTGTAGCCAGAAAAACACAGGCAACTCTCGATTCCATTCTCCACAAAGCAGTCCGCATTCGTGCAGACGGTTCTGGTGCAATTTTCAGAAGCTGTAGAATTATTCAATTGCAGAAAGTGTTTAACTCATGTACTCGTAACTACATAGGTTTTGAAATCTGCCAAATGTTTCAAGTAGCGTCCGCTAATTTTGGTCAGTAGTGGATGCGGTAACATACATGTTAAACCATCCAACCATACAGAGCCTTCGGAGCATATACTGATACCTGTTGTATGAGCAGAACAATATTTTCAGCCTTTTTATCATCTTCTTGTGGCCTAAATCATTACACATTTTGTGCCAAGCAGCTGCCTTCGAATAATTCGTAGCCTAAAGGTTAAACGGACGTTTAGGTGAAAAGCTCCTCACCTTCACAGGAGTCCCCAACTTGAATGAATCCTGGGACACACGAGCAGCTGAATCCACCGTCAGTGTTGGTGCAGGCTTGTTCACAGTCATCCAGCTGTTCTGCACACTCGTCAATATCTACAGAAATACGTTGTTCTTATTGTTTACTTATTTAACAAGCCAAGATAACACAACCTTTTAAAAAATGAAATACAAAAGAACGGTCGATCGAAAATAGATACGCCTTAGTGACCATCAAGAAGCGATCGTAGATAACAAATAATGCGATGGAAATACACTGATCATCAGAACAACAGGTCATATAGTACGATAGATTATTAAACAGAATGCATACATTAATCTAAATAACTAATAGATAAGTTTACAATAATAGATGCAAAGGAACTTGCGACGAAGACACTAAATACTTAACCTAGAAATTACATTTACCTAAATACAAAGTTACGTCCTGGATGTAATTTTAATTTTGCATTTTAGACAGTCGCCGAATCATTTCGGTGACCATTAATCTATGTGCTTTATTAACGGAAGAGTAAAATGTACCATCACACTTAAAACCATCGACCGCCAGCCTGTATCCATCCTCACAGCTACAGGTATAACTTCCCTCGGTGTTGGTGCAGTTCATAGAGCATTTACCGTTGTCAGCCATACACTCATTTAAATCTGTGAATGCGACATGCACATCAGTTTATTTCCAAGTAATTATGATTTTTTTTTGACGACGCATGATTTTTTCTACAATCCTTTAAACATTCTACATCTACACGGCTTTGTGCCTTTTTTGATATCACATTTTTTTGTCGCTGTCACCACTAGCTACATAAGCCACTGAATCATACTCGCGTGAATTATACTGGCGTGTTCCTACCTGTGCAGTGCCTTCCGTCTCCTTCGTAACCATTATAACATGTACAGTTGTAGCCTCCAATCAGGTTGGTACAGACGGCTTTTGTGTCGATGTCACAGTCAGCTTCTCCCCTTGCACATTCATCAATGTCTGCGGCAACGAAATGTAATTACGTGTCCTAGTTAACAAATTAACCAAAGAAACGTCTCAATTGTAACCTGCATAATAATCGCCTCAACTTCATATAACATGCAGATTCATTTACCTTTCTATGTAGATTCTTACAAAAATTGTGCAAAATGGCAGGTGGATTGTTGACACCTTTCTGCTTTTCAATAAAACATTCGTTCCTTTAACTTATCATTTTCTATTACATGTACAATTATAAAAGGGGTATTGGTATAGAATGTCATCTTTCTAGAGAAACTGGAATCTACTCTTCATGATGATCACACGTTCTCATTTATTGTTAGACATGTAAACTGGTTAGTACCTTCACACTGAATCCCATTTCCGACGAATCCTTCGTTACACGAACACGTGAACGATCCCGGAATGTTGATACAAGTTGCGTCCTGAGCACAGTTATTTATACCAATTTTACACTCGTCCACATCTGTATTGGTTGAAAGAAAAAAATATGTGATTCGGACGGTAGACTGGACATGATAAAATGAGTCCTATTGAATTCTTAAGGTCGTAGGGCACTAAGTTTGTAACTCACTATGTCTAAGGCACTGTATTGGAATGCGTAGGCCACCCCTCTTCTTTCACTGCCTTTTCCTCAACCGAAGCCAGGGACCCATTTTACACTTTGGTGGAGTGAGAAAAGTAGGCGTAACTGTACTCAAGTGCCTTTTTCAAGAACACAGCATCTTGTCAGAAATATCAATAGAAACCGTGACCACACGATCTCATGACCAATTTTACTGTACACCTGCACAATGCCAATATCACAAACCCCATGCTCATCAGAAGTTGAGAAAAGAATTAATCCCAATTACCTGTGCAATTCTCTGTACCAATCCCTTTGTACCCCTCTGTACATAGGCAGTTATAAGAGCCCTCCGTATTGGCGCAATCCGCATTCTCAGTGCAGTTGTTTAGAGCATCATCTGAACACTCGTCAAGATCTATAAAGTCACAATCAAGTAAGTTACATAATCTAAATGTTGGACAGGAGGTGGAACTACAGCTTACAGACGCATCATTCCTTCGTTACTTTGTAATGATACTGGTAGTTAAACCGAGTGTACATGTTCTCCAGATGATAACGAAACTTGCATTTCCTGAAAGCAATAATAATAATAGTAATGTGCAAAAGGGCCTTTCGATGGTGCCTGTTACTCAAATATCATTAGTCTTCAGTTCCGAGCGCTTTTTTTGCAACTAATGACGAACTGTTTACAAACAAGTTTCTTTAAACTAAAACTTCTTTCGCGCCGGTGTCACAGCGATCTCGCCCCCCAGCAATTTCGCTCTCCCGGCGGGTGAGATCGCTGGCGATTTCGCCCCGCCTCCGTAGATCTCGCCCCTCCCCCCTCCCTCCCCTTAGTTTAACAAGTCTTTTACACCGTACCACAGGTATGGCAAGTACACAAATTTGATTCAACAATCCTAACGATATTAGTACGGGTTCGGTTGAAGCAAGAAAGTATCCTCTTTGGTTGAAGTATTACCTGTTGCTATGCTCAACAGCATAGGCACCCAAACAACGCAGGATTTGAGCTGATCATTTGTAGTATAGTTTTGAGAGTGATTACATGTATTATAATTTACCGAAATACTATGATTGGAATTATTCAACAAATTTGTGTACTTAAACGGAAGTTTTCGAGGGGGACCAAATCACTAGCGGGGAGGGCGAAGTCTCTAGAGATTCTTGTCACGGGGAGGGCGAAAGCCCGGGAGGGCGAGATCGCTGTGACACCGGTCGTATTTTGTATCCATCTGTCAATGTTATGTACAATTTCTTTCTTTACATAAAGTGTACTCACAAGGAGAGGCTAATACAACATTGAAATTGTAACAAACCTTTACATGTGATTCCGTCTCCTGCATATCCACCCCTACACGCACAGCTATAGGACCCAGGGTTATCTGTACAGATCCCCTGCCCCGGGCTACAGTTGTCCAGTAGCTCTTCACACTCATCCACGTTGGTGCACACTGCCCCCTCTCGGCGGTAACCAGAGTTGCAGCTGCAGCTGTAGGAGCCGATGGAGTTGGTACATCTTGCATTCGTGTGGCAGATGTCCGGATCAACACACTCATCTTGGTCTGTAGGGTATAAGATGAACACATTGGAGACAACTGGTTAGCAATACTGAAAGTATACGTGGGCTTATAGCATACAGGTCATACTACTGTCAGAGTCTAAAGGTGAAGTATCATTGCCTTTAATGTTGATAAAATGCCTGATAATGTTGATAGAGGAGACAAGATTAAACAAAAAAGTTTGTGTTATCACTGTCATGCCCATGCTAGATCTATCTTTTATCATTGAAGACACACATATGAAGCTATACTACCACTAACTATATGGTATGTATGTTGTGATTATATCTATCGTTTACAAAATAAAACTTTACACATACAAAGCCACATGTGTGTTGCCATTATAATTCATCTACATTTCTTTCCCCTTTTCTTGAAATACTACAAGGAAGGGACATCATCATCGGCCTCCTCCCGTCTCAGTAGACGATGGGCTTGGTCCAGGATGGTCTCTGCGCCTTCTTTAGTGACTGAACAAGCCGATGATTGAGTGGCAAACTCTGCCACAAGTTGTATACAGGTGAATTTGGTGGTGTTGGCAGTGTTCGGAAGGGACAATATGTACACAGGGATTATAAAAACCGTCCAAAATGATATTTTAGTGTCAACAAAATTAACAAAAGTTACCTTTATTAGCAAAATACTTCACAATTGATTGGCAGCTGTGCCGCGTTTGTCAAAAGGACATAATGTTGGATTATGTTACAACAACTGGCTTACTTAGTTTTGCAAGACCTTCAGCTTCAGAAGGACAGTAACAACGGGTAGATACAACTTACCCTCACACCTGCGTCCGCTACCTTCATAGCCAGCCTTACATGTGCATGTGTAGGATCCAACAGTGTTGTCGCATACTGCATGGCGATCACAGGAAGAACTAGTTGTACATTCATCAACATCTGAAACAAAGAATAGTAAGTGGATAGATGTATACAATATAGATAGTACGGAAATGATGTATACAATAATGTAAAATATTTTCGCGTATTTCTTTAAATCACATGAAGAAGTGATTTACCTCTCATCAGAGGTTCATATGGAATACATTTCTTACTTGGGAGAGAACATGTAATATACACGTGCAACAACCCGCTAGGTCGTTTCTGCATTAAACGTTTCGATGACCTTTTTCAGGGCACCAATGACTGGGTCTGATTTTAAACAGTTTCTCTTTAAACCCAATTTCACCCAAATGAAATTACTCTGGTTTAAGTAGTTGATGTTTCATAGAAAATTGATTAGGTAAATGAATCACCTGCACAGTAGGATCCATTTCCAGTATATCCGGTGGTACAGGTACAAATAAAGCTTCCCTCTGTGTTGGTGCATGTTGCCTCAACTGCACAACCAGCTGTGCCTTCTACGCACTCGTCTATATCTAGAGAAAAAATGATACAATTCCATACGTTATTATTGCCTGCGAAAATTAGAATTTAAGTTTCAAATTTATTTACCAATGAAGTTCAAATAGGCGCACAAAGATCTGGTATATATCTTTTTAGCCAAATGATCGTTGTCCTACTGGCTCTTAAAGAATATGATACAACTCCGTCGCTTACCAGTACAGTTGAGTCCATTGCTGTCTAGGGTGTAACCAAGATCACAGCCACAGGTGTAGCTGCCCAGGATATTCACACAGTTATGGGGCTGTTCACAGAACTGACCTTGCACACACTCATTGATATCTGCAAAATGAAACACAACACGTAATATTAAAAAGCCAGTTGCAAACACCATTGCATTGAAAAGTCGACGAATATTTTCTGGAACGCAAGTGGTCAGTGTGTAAACTTTGAGGACGGGAACTATCTTTGTTTGATCTGGTCTGGTGACAGGAGGTTCGTAAAATCATTGGCATTGCGACATTGAGTGATGTGCACATTCGCATTTCGTTGACTTCCTGCACTTTTGTAATGTCCTTGGCCACGGCGGCATGACCAAGGAACCGATTGGGCACATGCAACACTTATCAATAACTAGTGTAATGGATAATCGAACAATTTGTTATAATTAAAATAAATACAGCATTTGTTCATTATCATTAGGAAAAAATAAAATGTTGATCCTACTGACCATAACACTTCTCCCCAGTCCCATGCAGACCGTTAGGACATGGTCCGCATTCGAAGCCATGTTCAGGTGCTACCATATCTGTACATGCCGCTCCTGGATAACACGGGTCCTCCTCACATTCATTCTTATCAGTCTCACAGAACTCTCCTGTCCAGGCTTCAGGGCACGAGCAGGAAACAACCTGTTTAAAAACAACATCAAGAGATGTTATTTTTATCGTGCTGCGTTTTAGACTGTATTCATTGCATTCTTTTCATTTCGAAAGCTATACAATACTTATTTCATAATGTGTAGCATACTCTGTGAAATGTATCGTACGGTGCAATTGCTGCATTTACATATACTAGCATAATCAGGTAACAATAACAACTGAAAGCTCAATCTCTCAATCTCGAAATCAGTCATTTACATGAATACATGACGTGCATCCAACCGAATCAAAGGCAGTGTGCTCAATGCCTCATGCGGGTAAAACGCTTATATAACAGAGCATATTAAATAATGTCCCGACCCCAGTGTACAGATTTGGAAATATTACTCGAATGAAAGACAGTTTGACAGTTAACGTTGCACTTGCATTGAAAGGTTAACAGCTCAAAGTATTATCATTCAATGTCGTTATATTAATTATAGCACTCGACCCTGAAGAAGCTGTTTGGCTGCAAATTCTCTCTGGTTACATCGTTTGCCTGTAGGTTAAAGGTTAGAGAAAGTAGCTCTGAAGTAGAAGAAAGGTAAGCCGATATTTTGAATTATACCAACAATGTCTTGACGGGCTAAACTTATTTCCAGACAAACCTGGAACCCTCCCACAGGGTTGATATCTCCAGTGAAGTCTCTAGTGACAAAGTTACAGATTCCACCGTGTTGACAATTGCAGAGTTTCACCATGGGGTAGGTCGACGAAGAAGCACCTTTGTTGTCTTGGGCAATAATCTCTAGTTGCACTGGTCGTAGGCTTCTGGGAGTCCACTGTAGGATTCCGTTAACTAAAAAAAGAAGGATCGGATATTTCAGACTTCATAGTATTTAGAGGGTCCCTCATGAAATTCAAAGTTTGCTAAATTTCTGCAACCCAATGACAAAAGCTACCACATATTGGACAACATACATACCAGGGTCGATAGTTGCCCCAGGAATGTTGTTGCCGATGGAATATCTCAAAGGATTGTCCTCAGGGTCAACAGCAATGACCTGTAGTTCCACCTGCTGTCCAACTATTCCATTGACTGTGGCGTTAGTTGTGATGTTGGGTGGAAAGTTGGCTGCAAGGAAGAAATACCATGATTATGTTAGTAGTGAACACGGTGTCTTCAAGGATTTCCGTCATTCTCATTTCTATGTCTGTTTAAATTATGTATTCTCTTACAGTGCAAGAGTACCTTTGCTTGTATCTTGATTAATTCCATGCAGGGCTCCATTATGAAATTGTAAAAAAAATAACAAGTGTCTTTGAAAAGTGTGTCGTGGACTAACCCAGTGTCTCTGCGTCTGAATCGAAAGTCACAATACTTGATCTGGTTTGTTCTCCCACTTCTGTGTCGTTTGTGCTGAGAAAGTCAAAGAGACATTCTACATTTGTGCCACATAGAACCTCAGCCTCGCTTTCTTTTTCGGCGGAAACAGCAGCTAGTAGTTGGCCGAGGAACTTCGGCCTGAAATTTGGTTTGGCGAATGAAGTGGCATTTTGCCCATCCTCGTAGGTGAAAAGACTTTCGTCTTCTCTGATTTGCCCTGAAAACAAGAAAATAATACTGCATTAATGTTGTTATTGTTATTGATGTAAAAGACACAAAAGACTTGCCTTGAAGACCCTGTATTGAAATTACCCTGCCCGTATATATTCTATATATTCAAAGAACAAGTTCATACCAACTTTGGAAATGCAAAAATGCAAAAACAAGGAGTATGACATTTCTTTGTGTGGTATGTAACCAAGTGCCTTAGACTGTATTTAAAATTGCATGCTGGCATCAAGGTCGAATTAAGATGAAATGTATGAAAGACAGTATACAGTGCTATTTGCTAGCCTATCTAATACTACACAATTGCTCGTACGCATCGAAAATGTAAACATACATAATCAATGCCATGGTCGTGTTACGTACATGATAATCCCCACGGGAAGATTTCTTCCTCTGTCAGATTTCTGTCCTCAGGTGCCTGCAGTACCGTGCCGTTAGGATAGGTGAAGTCGTCCAAAATGTTGTCGTTCCAAACACCTAGGGATGTACATGTAAATTGTAATTGACATAACTGTTCTTAATAACTAACTAAAAATAGTATACAATAACTAATTATGTTTACCGAAGGAAAACATATTGTTTTTGCTCCATTTCTTCTTCCTCTTCTTCTTCTTCTGTTCCAAACACTAACCTCTGACCTGGCCAATGGCCTCTTATGTTTCACGTCTGTCACCATAGTAACTGGTGTTGGGTTACATACAATGTTGCAATTTCATAGTAGGCATTTAGGCTCCTGTCACCAATACATGTACATGTATGTGAATGTGTTGAGTAAGAATTAACAGAGCAGACCATGTCCGAAGGTAAACATGGCGCACTTGCTTTGCAAATGTTACTTTTCTAGTTAAGCCCTACATTGATTAAATAGCTCGTTTCTACTTAAGCTTGTAGGGCTGAATGAAATGACATGTACTTTGTCATTTTGTTGGACCGTAGTTTGTCTGTTTGTTAATAATTCCATCTATATGATAATTTTCTCTGTTTCTATACAGCAGACCAGTCATATATACGTTTTTTTTGTTTGTTTACCAGAAAGTAAACAACATACCCAGCATGCCTCGTGTAGTGTTCTCGAAAGAATCCGGCGCTCCGAACTGTACATTCAGCATGAGTTTCTGGAGCGTGACGGTCACTGTTATTCCCGAAGAGAAGGAGGCGACCACACTGGTCTGGTTCGAGTTGAAATTGTACTGAAGAGTAACGTTAACGAAACGCTGGGCACCTGCATAACAAAACATCACAAGAATGCATTGTTATAAATTGTAATTAGAATTCTAATTAGGCTTTATGGATGTTTTACATTATCCATCTTTAATTTCTAATGTATGTGGAACTTTATTCCTTTCCAAGGTTATTGTTTTGTTTTTATTTCGTATTTATGTTTTTGAGGATATGGCTTTCTACAAGCATATTGCTACTTGTACCATCTTCAATAAAATGTGAATGGAAAAATTAGCAATTGGTAAGATTCTGGTTAGTAGCGACTGTAGGAGTGGACGTTAACTAACTAGGATTGTACCCAGGCTAAGAGTCTATTGGTAGGATAAACCAAAAGCCGCAATGGCTTAAGGAGGGATTTCGGCCGATTTCTTTTCCTATCTATTGGAAAATGTAAGCCTTACACCTTACCGTTCTGCCGTAGGTCAGTGATGTTGATGGAGTTTCCATCCACCATTAGTGTCATGTTAGCCCTGTTTTCGTTCATACCCATTTCAACCTAATGAAAAAAAATCTGTAGTAATCATCCATAAACAATAATAGGAAGCATAACTTTGTATTCACATTCACCAAGAAATGTTGCGTGGGTGCTCAATGTATAAGAAAACCAACTTCAGTCATTAACCGTGACAAATGGGGTAATAACTCAGTCCCGTCTGGAATCACGTTCTTAATAACTGAGAATTGTTTCATCTTTATTGTATTTTTTTAACAATATGTATTTGACAATGCCTTACACTTGGGACCGCATCAGTTTAATATTGATGTTTATCAAAATACATAGTATATAAAAATACGTTACATCTGGAACCGAATATTTGTAACAATTGGAACCGTATTGTTAGCAGTTTCGGTGCACTGTGAAATTATAGTAACAGCTACCTTTAATGCACAGTGGACCAGTCATTACAGCCTCGTAGTAGACGGCAGACGGTCATAAGAACGTGTTAAACAAATCACTGTGAATAAAAGAGCGTTTTGAACTATTCTATTGAAATTACCGTTGAGGAGCCATCTTGCTTGAATGCAAATGCTGTAAAGACCGTGGCTTCTGCAGCTCCCTGGGTACCAACGGCTTTTTCCGTGCGGCCCTGCAGCCTGAACTCAACACTGGCCCCACTCGTCTTGACAAGGGTGAACTCTCCTAACCCGTTAAACGTGTAGGCGAGACCGTCTAGTGTCTTCATGTGAGGATCTCCCCACGTTATGGCTATAAAAAGGAAACAGTCTTACATTAACATAACCTGGTAAAAAGTGCTAAAATGTCAACTTGAATCCAGTTTGCAGTCCTTACTTGCGAAACAAGGATAATAATGCACAAGCAAGAGCAGGGGAAAATATCAAATGAATTGTGTGAGAAAGGAAAAAAGAAACTCAACGTAGACAAAAGGTAGTAGAAGACAGAACACAGGACAAACAAATTCATAATAAAGACATATCAACTGCTAGGTAATAAATCATTAGCTACCCTATCATATCATAAAACTAATTCACGGAAAAATTGTAGCATCTGTAAGGCGTACCTAAACGCGGTGGCCTGTAGAAAGAACAGCTGTTTGGAGGCCTCTTTTCATAGTACAGGTTACAGAAGTCTTCATCGTCAGACAGGCTACAGCACCAGGACTTGGGATTCACGTCAAAGTCTGAAAGACAATGGATATTTTTAAGCTTTTTTAAAAGCTTAAAATATTGTCAAATACATGTAGATTTCATAGAATCTGTTTCTTCCAACAAACAAGTAAGCTCCTCAGTGTATCTATCATGTCATCTTTAGAAAATAGTTCTGGACCAACAAAATATTTGTAATTACCAGTGTGAAGTTGGGAGAACCGTTGATATCTGTGGTGACTTCCAGCCAGGGGTATCTCAGTGTTCAGGGCCAGGAACTTGTAACAACAGTCTACACTGGAACCAGTCGGGCTGGCAAACAGTGGGCTGAAGCAAACTTCCAGATCTACAGATAAAGAAAGTTACCATGGATATGCACTGATAGCATCGTCGATGTCTTGAATAGCTAATGAACAATACATGTACAAACCATAGCCCCGACCACCCGCATGAAATTGTAAAAATGCGAATAATATAAAAATGCAAATATCTATAAAATTACTCTCTCATTGATCGAACCACTGATTTCAAAGCTATCATTATGTCAACTGTCAATTGTGATGGGCAGTCAGAAATATATATATAATTTGAAAAATGTTCAGAAACTGTATACTTCAACAGTTTTTCCATGGGTTTAAACCCATCATAAACCAATCATCAAACAAATACGTAAATACAAAAACTGTACATGACAACTGCATGTAGCATGCCTCGCTACCAATGAGTGGCTCAAGATTAAGAAGCCAGGTGTGCGGTGTTTAACATTACTTTTCTTCTTTTAAACAGTACGTAAAAATGTTCTGCACCTTGATCGACCTGAAACAAGAGGTTGATGTCGAGGGGTGACAATTTAACAGGGGTAAAGCGTAGGTCCCTCAGTGCCTGCAGCAGTGTGCATGGACACAGGCCTTCTCCTACAATCCACTCGGAAGGGATTGGCTCTGTCTTGTACCAGTCACGACACAGCTTCTTGTAGTTCGTTTTCCGTGTGGCTTCGCTCTCCAACTTAAACGCCCATCGTCCTTTCAGCCCCGTGTTCCCGTTGACTTGGTCGGGTCTGTACGGATCTGCCAGCCGGATGTTTTCGAAGTTGACGCCGTTAGCGCTGTTGTACCCGAGAAGAACGTCCTGGGTTTCATTGGTCCACAGCATTTCGTCTTCCTTATAGGTCAGGAAAGCGACGGAATCTGATCCATCGGTGGCCAGGACGGCCTGGAATGTGTTTGGCTAAAAAAAAAGAAACATGAAATTGATGTACCCTGATCGAAATGTTATTAACGTAACATCGCTGCGCATGCACTTATGATACACAGTTCTAACATTAAACGTAAGCTCGACTAAAAGGCATATTTGATAAAAGATAAATGTCCCATCAGACATTAAAGAAAAAAATAGAAACTGTTAGAAAGTTAACGATTCAAGTTTAAGGTGAGTAACTATTTTGGGCGTATCTTATTACCTGGATATCCAACCTTCACTGACGCGACAAACCCCAGGCCCGTCTTTACTCATATTTTAGTGTGGCTTAAACGTACAACTCACCTGCCTCATAACATCTTCTAGGTCGACTTTAATGCTTCTTTTACTATAGATAGTTTTCTATAATTTGCGTAATTTGCCTAAACCTAAGGTGCTAGACATACGTCTTGTTTTGTGTACATCGCTTCGACAGAGGGTACACTGTCCCAGGTCACCACCAGTACCCAGGTGGGCACAAACGTGTCGCTGAAGGACTGGTACATCCTCGTAGTAACCATGTCAAACACTGTCTGTGTGGAATTATCACCTGAGTTGTCATCAGTATACACCTGGTAAGAAAGCGAAGAGAAAAAGTGTGCTAACAAGTTGATAAGTACAGATACATTGTATTGACCCATGTACAAGACTGAGTGTGATTATAGGCAAACAGTAGTTTTCTGTTTTTCGTTTTTGTTTTTTTCTTTGTATTGTCTCGTAACAGGTAATACTTATGAGACATGTTGGTCTTCTAAGATAAAGTTCTATATAGTTCTATCATAAGATGAGAGATACAATTTACGTTTTATAGTAGTTTTTACGTCCAAGATTTTAATAATAAGAGTAAGGTGGAACAATTGTTTTTACTTTAATACTGTAGAGTCTTCTTTTGTTATCTACCTGATACCAGACTTTCCCCACGTCCGTTGTGAGATCCACATCTCCCCATGACGCTGCTACCATAGGAGGGAATCCTGCCTGTACGGTCTGGTTCCTCCTGAACAGACTGGGGTTCGGGTAGGGTTCCCTCCGCGCACGGGACTGCGCCGTCGGTGGGAATATTATCAACCCGTTATCGGAGAACTGGAAAGAGAAAAAAATCTCTTTATCCTCATGTCAGGACATCCTTCCTTCGATATCTACACATTTATCTACTTATTTATTTATCTATCTATCCATCCATGTTTTTTTTTTCTTTGAACTATATTCCTTATTCATGGGAAGCTCAATTCAGCCCACAGGCCGTCAGTCATGAGTGAAGTGGAAAGGGTAAGACAAATTCTGATAAAAATCAGATTACAGTGAATAATTTTGAATTATTGAAGAAAAACGTAAAAGCTCCGATAATGATAATATCTTAATAAAATACTAAACAATGTAGCAAAGGTTCTATAGATCTAGGTAGTGAGAAGAAAAGCGAACTTACGTAAAGGCTGTAGTAGAAATCTCCAAAGAAAGGGAACCCTACACTGATGTCAATCAGAGAGGGCAGAGAGATGTCTTTGCGGTCGTCTGTGTCAGGCAGCAACACGTCCCCTTGTTTTTCACCGTAAGGGAAAAGGATGGTTTCTGAAATAAAACACAAATTCTAAAACTAAAAAGAGGTTAACACTGGTATACATGATACGTAACATACCATTGAAGAACAGTTTGCCATTCAACATCATTTTGACACCATGATCACAAATTTGCTGTGACTGCTTTGGAGTGTTACCTTTGTTGACAAAATTTTCAAATTAACAGGTATGCTGAGAGCTGAACGCCTTTTCCTAGGATTCAGATTAAAATTGATAAGATATTTTTTTTACCTCTACACACGAGTTTTTCCTGTGTGAGGCCATTTCCATAGAAACCTTCCCTGCATGTGCAGCTGTAGCTTCCCGGTGAGTTGTTACAGGCTGAGTTCTGATGGCATTTTTCTCGGAGGCACTCATCAACATCTGCAGGCAAACATACAAAGGACCATGCAATCTACTGTGCAGATATCATTTTCTGCAGAAACCTTTCTCGTGACTGTGTTATTTGAAATCGATGCAGATTTTGACCACTACAACAAGACTGTTTATCATATAGCCATGAAGTCTGATATTGCTGCTGATGATTAGGTGATTTTTGTAAAAATTTAGTAATCTGTACAATATAAGTAGGCTATTTGGAAATGATGCACACACACACACACACATACAAACACAACACCTTAGGTCGTTCTTATATAGTGGTTTTGATTCTCGTCTTTGCATCACAGTGGTAAAATGAATTCATCATAAGCATTCTGTTTAAAAATTACCACTGTCCTTGGTTTTTGTGTCCAAATGGTACTCACCGCTTTCACAGTTAACTCCCTGCCATTCACTTGGACAGTCACAGGAATACTTATTAAGTCCATCTATGCAGGTTGCGTCATTTTGGCAGGGATCGGACGCACACTCATCAGTTTCTGTTGGAGTAAGTAACGTATAGTCAATTTCTAGAGACATAAAGAGACAAAATAGAGACATCAATTTCTATTATAAAAGAGTTGTGTGAATATTCAGAATGCTGAGCGACAATGTGCAACACAACGAAGCTGTATGATAAATGAAAAAAAATCAATCTTTAAGATTTTTCATGCATAATCGTCAGGGATTGTATCATCGTAAATTCTTAAACAATTTGTATCGATAAGGCGTTATCTTTTTTTACCTGTGCATTCAAATCCGTCTCCATGGAAACCTTGTTTACAGGTGCAGATGAAGGAGCCGTTTGTATTTCCACAGTCAGCATGGCGGTGACAAGGATCAGACGTACACTCATTCATGTCTGTCAAAAACAAAGAGACAAATAACACGACCTTGTTATACATCGCTGCGGGTGGCGTTAGGTTTACAAGTCTTGAACTTCTGTCCGCCTTTTATTGTAAGAGGCAGTTTAAGTTAAACACCGGGAGAGTGGCACAAATAAAAATTAATTGATTGATTAATTGATTGATTGATTAATTAATGATTTAGTACTGTACCGTTTATTTTGCCAAATTGGCTAATGAAAAGCTTACGGTTGTAGTAATGGCTCCTTCTCGTGCCCTTCACACTTTAAAGTTATCGTCCTATACCAGTTAATTTACCACTGGAAGCAAAGAAATAAGGAAGGCAATCTTGCTCCACAACATTTCTGTGCCAAGCCAACATTTCTGTGACCGTTTGCCAGCTTCCTCAGGGCAGTACTCTACTGTATAGGTGGCGCTGCTATAATGCGGATAATGCGGCAACTGAGTTTATATCGCGCTTCATGACTGGAGAAATACCTTACCGTCTTCACAGTTGATTCCCTCCCACCCGTCCACACAGTCACAGCTGTAGGTGTTAATCCTGTCACTACAGGTCCCATTGTTGAGGCAGGGTGGAGGTTCACAATCGTTGACATCTAGAAAAAATAAAAAGGAATCTGAATACTGCTAAATCCAACAGATACTGATGTACTCTAGCGATATGTATAATAATGAAATTCGTTCAAAAGTTGTTTGCCGTTCATATGTTAAAACCTTTTTGCAGCTGATGATAATCATGGTCGTTATGTATCAAAATTATTCTGACACATTTCTTTACAAAATATCATTATTCATTTTATGTTCTAAGAAGCAAAATGACGTTGACATTTCATGTGACATTTTATGCTGATTTGTCCACATTCTTGTATATTTGTTTGTAAATTAGTTGAAGACCTTGTGAAAGTCATTGTATATTTGGTGTGTCAATAAAGATTTTCTTGTCTGTAGAAAACGATAATAATATTTGATAACAAACACACTCACTTGTTTCACACCTCTCCCCAGCAAACCCCTCACGACAGGTACAGGTGTACCCGTTGATCCTATCCACACACGTTCCACCGATACAGGGGCTGGAACTGCACTCGTTGATTTCTATATGGAACAATAGAAAGAAATTTTGTGAACATCAGTCATGTGAAAACATTGCATTGCTACTCTTGATACCAACGGTTCTGAGTCGGACATTTGACAAGTTATAGCACATTAATACTTTAGTACTTTTGTGAACACTCACGAACAACAACTTAGCCGAAAGTATTATTCAGTCCTTCATTGAATTGCTTGCAATGCAATTCACCATACGTGATCTTTATTACTAAAATGGTCATAATAATCATAAAAGGCCTCTATACAGACCTGTGCAAACCGTGCCAGACCCCACATATCCGTCCAGACACTGACAGGTGTAGCTGCCGGCTGTGTTGGTGCAGTTGGCAAACTCGGAACATGGAGCCGACAAACACTCGTCTTCATCTGAAAATCAAACGATTTTTCATCAGCATAGACATTTCATCCTCATTACTGAAGGAACTTTAGGCCACAGCAAGTAAATTTTATGTATGAAATCCTTCACAGATTCCAAATATAATGCGATAGGGCGACAAGAAAACTAGGCGCCCCCCCCAAAAAAACAAGATTCCTACATTTTCCAATTTGGACATCATAAGCCTTGGTAATCAAGAAATGATACCTATATTGTGCTCAGTTTACTGCTAACTATTATGACATCTATTTGTTAATGAAAGATTATAGATTTCAATCATTGTACAAATGGCTTTGATTCAGTGGGAACATCACACATAAAAGAAACGAAATACATCACCGCATCAAAGTAAAAGGCAAAGCAATAAATCAGAGTCTTGGCTTGTTTCCTTTCTTCACATTTATCTGCCATCCACATTCCGGCAACTTTACCTTCATTGACTACGATTTGACTGTGGATCAAATTTTTGATGCAGTGTAAGATGATGACGATGTTACAAACCTTCGCATGAGGTCTTCCCGTCACCAATATAACCACTGGGACACCGGCACGTGTACGAGCCGTACGGAGAGTTGATGCACCTCGCGTTAGGCACACAGGCTGGCCGGCCCAAGCAATAGTCCAAACCGTCTTCGCATTCATTGGTATCTGCAAAAGAACGTATTACTTTCTTCAAAAACTGATAAACTGACACGAAGTTAAGGGCATGATTTGCCTAAAAATATCTAATATTCAAAGAGTATTGCTTTGAAGTAGCATATTAAAGTACATACTTTTGAAACAATCTCCTGGAACATATATTTGCAGTGTGATAGTCGAAAGAGTAAATGAGCGTACCTAGGCAGAACTGGGAAAGGCCGAAAAATCCATATCCTGTGTTGCAGTCACACTTCTGAATGCCGCCATCGACAAAACAGCTTCCAAACCCACAGAACCGGATGCAGGGGGTCATTGCTGAAGATTTAAGTCGAAAGGCCATAATCTCATAATGGTACGTAATTGCTATGCGGTTAGTGAAAGTGTATTTTGGATCACACGATTATTATTTTACACTTGACAGGCGAATGTTGAAATCAATAAACCATAAGAACAATCATCTAGATAACTAATCAACCATCAGAATTTTTTGTCAACGTACTGTTGGTCGATCTGGCAAACTTCTTTAGAATTCTGCATTGTGTGATCTAGATCAGCCATAAAATGTTGAATATATTTCTTTACTCCAAAACAACATGGATGTGTAACAACATATATAACTAATAGTAATAACAGGTACATGTATGGCATTCCGAAAATGAATCATGAATTATGTATATCTTTGACTACCTTCACAAGTTGGCAGTACGCCCTTCCATTCCCCATCGCTGCCACAGGTAAGCGTTGTGGTCCCGTTCGCGGACTGAAATCCCGTCTTGCAGCGGTAAGTTGCCACGGAGCCAGAGGTCGTTGCGGTTAGACTTACTTCAGCATGGGAGGGCAGCAACGGGCAGCCACAGTCGGCAACTAGAACGAGAGTTGGCATTGTACAGATTTGTATATGATTATGTGTAATTTCTCCCCCACTGTCTAGACATATATGCGCAGCCTTTACTTTTCTTAAGTTTCTTAATCCATGTCACCTTAAATTTTAAGGGCTTTACATTTACATTTTATTGGGAGGACAACTTGTAAAGGCGTTGATACACCTGTTTTGTCCTCCCTTCCACTTGTTTTTGCATGTGGTAAATTCAAATAAAGAAATAAAGAATTTAATAGAAAAGTCCATCATCGTTAGACCACCTTGTTCTTTCTTCCCTATCGCCGTCTTCATTTTCACCTTAGGCATTTTATCATCCCAAATAAACTTGAAAATATAACCATTTACTATCTTGTGAACGCCAACGGACAGAACCGTACAATTATAGATAAGTTTAGAAACACCAAGTGTTTTAACCAGAATAATCCTCCCAATTGTAGTTATGTCTCTTGTCCTCGATACATTTAGCAATTTCTCAAAGTTCAACTTATATCACAGTCTTCCTAGTTGTAGGCAAAATAAGTACCTAATGCATATATAGGATCTTGTGGCCACTGCACCTTTAAAGGTTTATCGATTTATCGTATTTGATTATAGAAGCCATTACTTAAGCTCCCTACACACTAAAAATCGCGACAATCTATTAACCCCTGTTACACGACAATCTATTAACCCCTGTTAATGTGGTATCTGCCACTTTAAAAGTATACCCTGGCATATATATGTCCAGACACGAAACATCATTCACATCAAAGTTTGAAGTGCTGTTGCAGTACTAAGCCGCCAGAGCTGATCCTTTTTGATAGGTCAAAGCCTAACACACCAAGTTTTATAACAATCCATCTAAAGCTTCATGAGTTGCTAACTTACACACACACACATTCATAAACGCTTCCAAAAACATAACCTTTCTGGCGAAGGTAAAATGCAAAACATACCAACTTTCGTAGCCGTCACTCTAGTTGCGTCTGCTGTAGCTGTCATTAAGAGCTGAGTTGTTCTGATTGGCACTATCGTTGTAGTCGGTTCTGTTGTGGTGACTGTTGTTGTAGTCGGCTCTGTTGTTGTGACTGTTGTTGTAGTCGGCTCTGCTGTTGTGACTGTTGTTGTAGTCGGCTCTGCTGTTGTGACTGTTGTTGTGGTCGGCTCTGTTGTTGTGACTGTTGTGGTCGGTTCTGTTGTGGTGACTGTTGTTGTAGTCGGCTCTGCTGTTGTGACTGTTGTTGTGGTCGGCTCTGTTGTTGTGACTGTTGTTGTAGTCGGCTCTGTTGTTGTGACTGTTGTGGTCGGTTCTGTTGTGGTGACTGTTGTTGTGGTCTGCTCTGTTGTTGTGACTGTTGTTGTGGTCGGCTGTGTTGTTTTGACTGTTTTTGTGGTCGGCTGTGTTGTTGTGACTACTAAAAGGGAAAATAACGAAAAAGAAAATACACGAACTAGCAAAGGCTACCTATGCGAGCATATAGTGCATATTTCATTCCAGTTCTCACCTACCAAATTTATGCCACATGTTTATGATTAATTCTAACTAAATTGTTATGGACATATGTATACCTCAATTCACAGCTCATTTATATACGTAAGTTTTAAACGAAATAGATACCATTTAAATGACAAATCTGAAAACCTAGCGCTATAGCAAAAAACGTACATACGGCATACGGTATAGCGTGAATCTAAAAAAAACACATTGCCGTAATCCCCTCCTCCAACATCAAATTCCGTCACCTACCATGCTCAGCTTCACAGATGAAACTCGTGATTGTAGAACAAATCCCGTCGTTCCATTTATTTCTATTTTCGTAGCGGAACCAGCTGCTGAACCAGTATGAAGGGAAGTACTCGACACACTGTACATTTCCACCTGCATTATTCGGCTCTCCATCAGCCCAGTCGGTGTAATTTAACTCTCCGCCATCTACGTAATTCCACGTTTCATTCCTACGATGCAGCCCGAAACGGAATAATCGGGTGGTGCTCACATTGTTTTTCAAAGCGATGAGGAAGTCATTGGTTGTGCTGTCGCGAGGCATGGCCAAAGTGCCGCCGTCTGCTAGACACACGACCAAAGCTTCGTCGTAGGTTTTCGGGCTGTCATAGGCACGGTAACACCGGTTAGTGTATGCAAGATATGAGTAGCTTCCAGGGCACGCTGCAATGACACAGGAAAATACAATTTTAACTGAATATGTCTAAAATACGTAACTGCATCCATAAATGATTAGTAATGAATCGAATTCTTCTTATAATGGTGAACGGCTTGACTTGGTGACATACACATGTATTACCCTACGTACGTATGATATATTTTCCGTGGACCTTGTCGAGGTGTTCCGACATATCATTAGGGTATATTAGCGTGCCTTAAAGGACAAATACAGTAATTTCAGTTGTGTTGTCTTTTAATCCAAAATCCCATTTACAAAAGGATCCTTTGGTTTCTACCGGTCCCGCATGCGTAGAGGTGATATTTGACCCAAATGCATATTCACTTTTGATGACTGCCTATCCCACCTTAGGTTTAAGTGACGTCATGGGTCCTATCAATCTAATTTACTCTATAGTATATGTATGTCCTTCGGATAAGATATGACGAATGTCGTGATTGTAGAAGGACTGACATGCTGACATCAGCCTACCTAATTCTCTCTCAGGTGATTATTCGTCCTCTGGCTTCTCTTTATCATTTTCTTTTCGTTGAGATGTTCTTTTATGTACTAATATTAACAGAGTTTTGATTTCATGGCCAGGTAATTACCAAAACTTCGGAAGTATTGAATGGCTTTCATCAAACAACAGAAGTTGCATGTATAATATACATACAGAGACTGGTAGCTAACCAAAACATCAGTGTTGAGAACTAAATAGAAAGATGTCAGTTGTCATGAAGGTTAACCTGAGGTATATCTATTGTAGAGCATAGTCTAACGAACTTACTTGTCATGAAAGTCAGAGGTCCTCCTGCTGCCTCTGCACTGACTACACTGTCATCTGCACTCACAGCTACAAGGCTGATGCTGTACAGAACACCTGGGAACAGTCCTGTCAGACTGGTGCTGGTGGCAGTAGGGTCAGAGATCTCTGTAGTCTGACTGGCGCCACCAGATGGGGTATATGTGATTCTGTACTTAGCAAATGTTGCATTGTTGGCAGTGTCAGGTGGAGACCAGCTCAGGCCAATGGTAGTTGTACCTTGAGTTTCACCAGTGAAGCTCTGGGGAGCATTCGGCACTATACAAACATTGTGAATAGATTGAAATAATTTTTGGTTACAAAAGTATAACAATTCTGGTGATTGATACTAGTACTTGATATTGACAGTAAGAGCAAAGTTTTGATGACTGTTAAGTGCTTTTCATGCAGGAACTAAGAAAAATGTCACTCCGGGGTAAAGGTCTTTTGTATCAACATCGAAGTACATTTTAGACAAAACAGTATTTGAAGAATGACAAGATTTTGCGATGGGAGTATTGAAGTTTCTCGTCCAGTAGTAGCAAAAACTGCGTATGAGTACCAGACGCTGATGGCTACATAAAATCATCAGAACGTAGGAGAGAATAGTGTAGGGATATACAAAGAGAGTTGTCATGCAGTTTAAGCTTAGGTTTCTCTAGTGCACGGTCTGAAAAACTTACCTGTCCTGACAGTCAGAGGTCCTCCTGCTGCCTCTGCACTGACTGTAAGACTGGGCTCAGCACTGACAGCCACAACACTGATGGTGTACAGAACACCTGGGGAAAGTCCTGTCAGACTGAAACTGGTGACAGCGGGGTTAACGATCTCTTCAGTCTGACTGACGCCACCGGATGGAGTATATGTGATCCAGTACTTGGCAAACTCTGCACCGTTGGTACTGGCAGGAGCAGACCAGCTCAGGCTAATGGTTGTTGAATTTTGAGCTTCACCAAAGAACCTCTGTGGAGGATTTGGTCCTATATAAACATTAAGAATAGGAAATACAATTCAGTTATATCAAGATAAATACTGCTAATTGACCTTTGTCATTGCTAACTAAAGCAACCTTGTGACAATGGTTGAACATTAAAGTTAGTGGCACTGAGCCAATTGAGAGCCTTCATTGGCCGATTTTTTTTTATCATGTTGAGATAGAGGTTGTATTTTTAAATTGTATTGTTTACAACAGGCAGACAAATAACGAGAGCATGTTTTGCTATTGTGCAAGGCATGATGTTTAAATTTGCAGTGAAGTTTTGAATGTATCTCATCCAGTAGCACAAGCTGCATGTGATTCCAGATACTGATGGATCTACAAACATCATTGGTTAGAAGTGGCAAGGAAAATATCAGACTATTTTTCAAGAGCTGCCATACAATTTGAATTAAGGTTTATCTACTGAAGAGCGGAGTCTGAAAAACTTACTTGTTCTGACAGTCAGAGGTCCTCCTGCTGCCTCTGCACTGACTGTAAGACTGGGCTCAGCACTGACAGCCACAAGACTTAAGCTGTACAGAACACCTGGGGACAGTCCTGTCAGACTGATGCTGGTGGTACTAGGGTTGGTGATCAGTGTAGTCAGACTGTAAACATTGGCATCGTATGTCATTCTGTACTTGGCAAATGTTGCATTGTTGGCACTGTCAGGCTCAGTCCAGTTCAGACCAATGGTTGTTGTGGTAATAGTTGTAACAGCAAAGTCTTCCGGCGCATTTGGATCTAGATGAATAGAAAAACAACAAATCATGTATGGATGTATTTTTTTTGCAAATCTTTAAAGTAGATAATCAGCGTGTTAGATTAAGTCTTCGCTACATTATGCATAATTAATTTTAACCGTTTTTTGACAGTTAAATTTGGAATATTCAATAATAAGCAGGCATGCCATATCTACACAAAAGGCAAACAAGTGGAGAATGTTTCCAATCAGAAGGAAAGGAAACTCACCCACCAAATTGTTAATGAGAAGAGCTTCATTATTGGGGAAAAAGAGTCAATAATGGACGGAATAAAGGAATTAAAGACATTGTGCATACGGAGAGCTGAAGTCTCATCTACTGCAAGTTAAAAAGGTGTCAGACTCTTGAGTCATAGCTGACATGCAGTTTATCCTGAGGTTCATCTACTATAGAGCACAGTCTGAAAAACTTACTTGTCCTAACAGTCAGAGGTCCCCCTGCTGCCTCTGCACTGACTGTAAGACTGGGCTCAGCACTGACAGCCACAAGACTGATGCTGTACAGAACACCTGGGGACAGTCCTGTCAGACTAAAACTGGTGGCAGCGGGATTAAATATCTCTCCAGTCTGACTGACGCCACCGGATGGAGTATATGTGATTCTGTACTTGTCAAACTCTGCACCGTTGGCACTGACAGGAGCAGACCAGCTCAGGCTAATGGTTGTTGAATTTTGAGCTTCACCAAAGAAGCTCTGTGGAGGATTTGGTTCTATATAAACATTAAGAATAGGAAATCAAATTCAGGTATATCAAGATAAATACTGCACTTTGTCATTGCTAGCTTAAGCAACCTTGTGACAATGGTTAAACATTAAAGTTAGTGGCACTGAGCCAATTGAGAGCCTCATTGGCCGATTTTCTTTATTATGTTATGAGATAGAGGTTGTATTTAACAACAGGCAGACAAATAACGAAAGCAGGTTTTGCCATTGTGCAAGGTATGATACATGCTTAAATTCGCAGTGAAGTTTTGAATGTATCTCATCCAGTAGCACAAGCTGCATGTGATTCCAGATACTGATGGATCTACAAACATCATTGGTTAGAAGTAAAAAGGAAGATATCAGACTCTGTTTTAAGAGCTGCCATGCAATTTAAATTAAGGTTCATCTACTGAAGAGCACAGTCTGAAAAACTTACTTGTCCTGACAGTCAGAGGTCCTCCTGCTGCCTCTGCACTGACTACACTGTCATCTGCACTCACAGCCACAAGACTGATGCTATACAGAACACCTGGGGACAGTCCTGTCAGACTGATGCTGGTGGTACTAGAGTTGGTGATCTCTGTAGTCAGACTGTAACCATTGTCAACGTATGTCATTCTGTACTTGGCAAATGTTGCATTGTTGGCACTGTCAGGCTCAGTCCAGTTCAGACCAATGGTTGTTGTGGTAATGGTTGTAACAGCAAAGTCTTCCGGCGCATTTGGATCTAGATGAACAGAAACACAACAAATCATGTAGGGATGTACTTTTTTTGCTAATCTTTAAAGTAGATAATCAGCGTGCTAGATTAAGTCTTCGCTACATTATGCATAAATAATTTTAACGTTCTTTGACAGTTGAATTTGGATATTCAATAATAAGCAGGCATGCCGGATCTACACGAAAGGCAAACAAGTGGGGAATGTTTCGAATCAGAAAGAAAGGAAACTCACCCACCAAATTGTTAATCAGAAGAGCTTTATTATTGGGAAAAAAGAGTCATAATAGTCGGAATAAAGGAATTTAAAGACATTGTGCATACGGAGAGCTGAAGTCTCATCTACTACAAATTTTAAAAGGAGGTGTCAGACTCTTGAGTCGTAGCTGACGTGCAGGTTAACCTGAGGTTCATCTACTGAAGAGCACAGTCTACAAAACTTACTTGTCCTGACAGTCAGAGGTCCTCCTGTTGCCTCTGCACTGACTACACTGTCATCTGCACTCACAGCCACAAGACTGATGTTGTACAGAACACCTGGGGACAGTCCTGTTAGACTGATGCTGGTGGTACTAGAGTTGGTGATCTCTGTAGTCAGGCTGTAACCATTGACAACGTATGTCATTCTGTACTTGGCAAATGTTGCATTGTTGGCACTGTCAGGCTCAGTCCAGTTCAGACCAATGTTTGTTGTGGTAATGGTTGTAACAGCAAAGTCTTCCGGCGCATTTGGATCTAGATGAACAGAAACACAACAAATCATGCAAATCTTTAAAGTAGATAATCAGCGTGTTAGATTAAGTCTGCGCTACATTATGCATAAATAAAGTTAACCGTTATTTGACAGTTGGATCTGGAACATTCAATAATAAGCAGGCATGCCAGATCTACACAAAAGGCAAACAAGTGGAGAATGTTTCGAATCATAAGGAAATAAAAGAAACTCACCCACCAAATTGTTAATAAGAAGAGCTTTATTATTGGGAAAAAAAGAGTCCATAATAGTCGGAATAAAGGAATGTAAAGACATTGTGCATACGGAGAGCTAAAGTCTCATCTACTGCAACTTAAAAAGGTGTCAGACTCTTGAGTCATAGCTGATATGCAGTTTAACCTGAGGTTCATCTACTGTAGAGCACAGTCTGGAAAACTTACTTGTCCTGACAGTCAGAGGTCCTCCTGCTGCCTCTGAACTGACTGTAAGACTGGGCTCAGCACTGACAGCCACAAGACTGATGCTGTACAGAACACCTGGGGACAGTCCTGTCAGACTGGTGCTGGTGGCAGTAGGGTCAGAGATCTCTGTAGTCTGACTGGCGCCACCAGATGGGATATATGTGATTCTGTACTTGGCAAAGGTTGCACCATTGGTACTGTCTGGCACAGTCCAGCTCAGACCAATGGTTGTTGTGGTAAAGGTTGTGACAGTGAAGTCTTCCGGTGCATTTGGATCTAGATAAACATATACACAACAAATCATGTATGCATTTTTACATATCTTCATGATAGATAATCAGTTTTTATGGATCGAGTCTGTGCTACATTATGCATAATTAAATTTAACCATTATTTGACAGTTGAATTTGGAACATTCAATAATAAGCAGGCATGCCAGATCTACACAAAAGGCAAGCAAGTCGACAATGTTTCGAATCAGGAGGAAAGAAAACTTACCACTAATTGTTAATAAATAGAGCTTTATTACAGGCAAACAAGAGTCCATAATAGTCGGAATAAAGGAATTTAAAGACATTGTGCAAACGGAGAGCTGCAGTCTCATCTACTGCAAGTTAAAAAGGTGTCAGACTCTTGAGTCATAGCTGACATGCAAGTTAACCTGAGATACATCTACTGTAGAGCACAGTCGGACGAACTTACTTGTCCTGACAGTCAGAGGTCCTCCTGCTGCCTCTGCACTGACTGTAAGACTGGGTTCCTCACTCACAGCCAGAAGACTGATGCTATACAGAACACCTGGGGACAGTCCTGTCAGACTGGTGCTGGTGGCAGTGGGGTCAGAGATCTCTTCAATCTGACTGGCGCCACCAGATGGGATATATGTGATTCTATACTTGGCAAACGCCGCACCATTGGTACTGTCTGGCACAGTCCAGCTCAGATCAATGGTTGTTGTGGTAAAGGTTGTGACAGTGAAGTCTTCCGGTGCATTTGGATCTAGTTGAACATGTACACAACAAATATTGTATGAATGTATTTTTTGCAAATGTTTATAATAGATAATCAGCGTGCTAGATTAAGTCTGTGCTACATTATCCATAATTAGATTTAACCATTATTTGACAGTTGAATTTCGAACATTCAATAATAAGCAGGCATGCCAGATTTTCACGAAAGGTAATCAAGTGGAGAATGTTTCGAATCAGGAGGAAAGAAAACTTACCACTAATTGTTAACAAATAGAGCTTTATTACAGGCAACCAAGAGTCCATAATAGTCGGAATAAAGGAATGTTAAGACATTGTGCAAACGGAGAGCTGAAGTCTCATCTACCGCAAAGTTTAAAAGGAGGTGTCAGACTCTTGAGTCAAAGCTGACATGCAGGTTAACCTGAGGTTCATCTACTGAAGAGCACAGTCTGAAAAACTTACTTGTCCTGACAGTCAGGGGTCCTCCTGCTGCCTCTGCACTGACTGTAAGACTGGGCTCAGCACTGACAGCCACAAGACGGATGCTGTACAGAACACCTGGGGACAGTCCTGTCAGACTGGTGCTGGTGGCAGTAGGGTCAGAGATCTCTGTAGTCTGACTGGCGCCACCAGATGGGATATATATGATTCTGTACTTGGCAAAGGTTGCACCATTGGTACTGTCTGGCACAGTCCAGCTCAGACCAATGGTTGTTGTGGTAAAGGTTGTGACAGCAAAGTCTTCCGGTGCATTTGGATCTAGATAAACATATACACAACAAATCATGTATGCATTTTTACATATCTTCATGATAGATAATCAGTTTTTATGGATCGAGTCTGTGCTACATTATGCATAATTAAATTTAACCGTTCTTTGACAGTTGAATCTGGAACATTCAAATATACGCAGGCATGCCGGATCTACATGAAAGGCAAACAAGTGGAGAAAATTTTGAATCAGAAGGAAAGGAAACTTACCTACCAAATTGTTAATAAAAAGAGCTTCATCACAGGCAAACAAGAGTCCATAATAGTTTGAATAAAGAAATTTAAAGGCATTGTGCATACGGAAAGCTGCTGTCTAATTTACTGCGAAGTTAGAAAGGAGGTGCGAGGCTCTTGATTCATAGCTGACATGCAGGTTAACCTGAGGTTCATCTACTGAAGAGCACAGTCTGCAAAACTTACTTGTCCTGACAGTCACTCCTGCTGCCTCTGCACTGACTACACTGTCATCTTCACTCACAGCTACAAGACTGATGGTGTACAGAACACCTGGGAACAGTCCTGTCAGACTGATGCTGGTGGCAGTGGTGTCAGAGATCTCTGTAGTCTGACTGGCTCCACCAGATGGGGTATATGTGATTCTGTACTTAGCAAATGTTGCATTGTTGGCAGTGTCAGGCACAGTCCAGCTCAGGCCAATGGTAGTTGTACCTTGAGTTTCACCAGTGAAGCTCCGGGGAGCATTCGGCACTATACAAACATTGTGAATAGATTGAAATAATTTTTGGTTACAAAAGTATAAAAATTCTGGTGATTGATACTAGTACTTGATATTGACAGTAAGAGCAAAGTTTTGATGACTGTTAAGTGCTTTTCATGCAGGAAAGATAAATGTCACTCCGGGGTAAAGGTCTTATCTATCAACAGGGAAGTATATTTTAGACAAAACAATATTTGAAGAATGACTAGATTTTGCGAGGGAATTATTGAAGTTTCTCGTCCAGTAGTAGCACAAACTGCGTATGAGTACCAGACGTTGATGACTACATAAAGCCATCAGAAAGTAGGAGAGAATAGTGTATATATACAAAGAGAGTTGACATGCAGTTTAAGCTTAGGTTTCTCTACTTTAGAGCACAGTCTGAAAAACGTACCTGTCCTGACAGTCAGGGGTCCTCCTGCTGCCTCTGCACTGACTGTAAGACTGGGCTCAGCACTGACAGCCACAAGACTGATGCTATACAGAACACCTGGGGAAAGTCCTGTCAAACTGAAACTGGTGACAGCGGGGACAACGATCTCTTCAGTCTGACTGACGCCACCGGATGGAGTATATGTGATTCTGTAGTTGTCAAACGCTGCACCGTTGGTACTGGCAGGAGAAGACCAGCTCAGACGAATGGTTGTTGAACTTTGAGCTTCACCAAAGAAGCTCTGTGGAGGATTTGGTTCTATATAAACATTAAGAATAGGAAATCAAATTCAGGTATATCAAGATTGATACTGCACTTTGCCATTGCTAGCTTAAGCAACCTTGTGACAATGGTTAAACATTAAAGTTAGTGGCACTGAGCCAATTGAGAGCCTTCATTGGCCGATTTTCTTTCTTATGTTATGAGATAGAGGTTGTATTTAACAACAGGCAGACAAATAACGAAAGCAGGTTTTGCGATTGTGCAAGGTATGGTAAATGTTTAAATTTGCAGTGAAGTTTTAAATGTATCTCATCCAGTAGCACAAGCTGCATGTGATTCCAGATACTGATAAATCTACAAACAGCACTGGTTAGAAGTAAAAAGGAAGATATCAGACTCTGTTTTAAGAGCTGCCATGCAATTTAAATTAAGGTTCATCTACTGAAGAGCACAGTCTGCAAAACCTTACTTGTCCTGACAGTCAGAGGTCCTCCTGCTGCCTCTGCACTGACTACACTGTCATCTGCACTGACAGCCACAAGACTGATGGTGTACAGAACACCTGGGGACAGTCCTGTCAGCCTGGTGCTGGTGGTACTAGAGTTGGTGATCTCTGTAGTCAGACTGTCACCATTGGCAACGTATGTCATTCTGTACTTGGCAAATGTTGCATTGTTGGCACTGTCAGGCTCAGTCCAGTTCAGACCAATGGTTGTTGTGGTAATAGTTGTAACAGCAAAGTCTTCCGGCGCATTTGGATCTAGATGAACAGAAACACAACAAATCATGTAATGTATGTATTTTTTTTTGCAAATCTTTAAAGTAGATAATCAGCGTGCTAGATTAAGTCTGCGCTACATTATGCATAATTAAATTTAAAAGTTTTTTGACAGTTCAATTTGGAACATACAATAATAAGCAGGCATGCCAGATCTACACAAAAGGAAAACAAGTGGGGAATGTCGCGAATGAGAAGGAAAGAAAACTTACCACGAAATTGTTAATAAGAAGATCTTTATTATAGGGAAACAAGAGTCCATGATAGTCGGAATAAAGGAATGTAAAGACATTGTGCAAACGGAGAGCTGAAGTCTCATCTACCGCAAAGTTTAAAAGGAGGTGTCAGACTCTTGAGTCATAGCTGACATGCAGGTTAACCTGAGGTTCATCTACTGAAGAGCACAGTCTGAAAAACTTACTTGTCCTGACAGTCAGGGGTCCTCCTGCTGCCTCTGCACTGACTGTAAGACTGGGCTCAGCACTGACAGCCACAAGACGGATGCTGTACGGAACACCTGGGGACAGTCCTGTCAGACTGGCGCTGGTGGCAGTAGGGTCAGAGATCTCTGTAGTCTGACTGGCGCCACCAGATGGGATATATATGATTCTGTACTTGGCGAAGGTTGCACCATTGGTACTGTCTGGCACAGTCCAGCTCAGACCAATGGTTGTTGTGGTAAAGGTTGTGACAGCAAAGTCTTCCGGTGCATTTGGATCTAGATTAACATATACACAACAAATCATGTATGCATTTTTACATATCTTCATGAAAGATAATCAGTTTTTATGGATCGAGTCTGTGCTACATTATGCATAATTAAATTTAACCGTTCTTTGACAGTTGAATCTGGAACATTCAAATATACGCAGGCATGCCGGATCTACATGAAAGGCAAACAAGTGGAGAAATTAAAATTTTGAATCAGAAGGAAAGGAAACTTACCTACCAAATTGTTAATAAAAAGAGCTTCATCACAGGCAAACAAGAGTCCATAATAGTTTGAATAAAGAATTTAAAGGCATTGTGCATACGGAAAGCTGCTGTCTAATTTACTGCGAAGTTAGAAAGGAGGTGCGAGGCTCTTGATTCATAGCTGACATGCAGGTTAATCTGAGGTTCATCTACTTTAGAGAACAGTCTGAAAAACTTACTTGTCCTGATAGTTAGAGGTCCTCCTGCTGCCTCTGCACTGACTGTAAGACTGGGCTCAGCACTGACAGCCACAAGACTGACGCTGTACAGAACACCTGGGGACAGTCCTGTCAGACTGATGCTGGTGGCAGTGGGGTCAGAGATCTCTGTAGTCTGACTGGCGCCACCAGATGGGATATATGTGATTCTGTACTTAGCAAATGTTGCATTGTTGGCAGTGTCAGGCACAGTCCAGCTCAGACCAATGGTAGTTGTACCTTGAGTTTCACCAGTGAAGCTCCGGGGAGCATTCGGCACTATACAAACATTGTGAATAGATTGAAATAATTTTTGGTTACAAAAGTATAACAATCCTGGTGATTGATACTAGTACTTGATATTGACAGTAAGAGCAAAGTTTTGATGACTGTTAAGTGCTTTTCATACAGGAAAGATAAATGTCACTCCGGGGTAAAGGTCTTTACTATCAACAGGGAAGTATATTTTAGACAAAACAGTATTTGAAGAATGACAAGATTTTGCGAGGGAATTATTGAAGTTTCTCGTCCAGTACTGCAGTAGTAGCACAAACTGCGTATGAGTACCAGACGTTGATGGCTACATAAAACCATTAGAAAGTAGGAGAGAATAGTGTAGGGATATACAAAGAGAGTTGACATGCAGTTTAAGCTTAGGTTTCTCTACTGTAGAGCACAGTCTGAAAAACTTACCTGTCCTGATAGTCAGAGGTCCTCCTGCTGCCTCTGCACTGACTGTAAGACTGGGCTCAGCACTGACAGCCACAACACTGATGCTATACAGAACACCTGGGGACAGTCTTGTCAGACTGACACTGGTGACAGCGGGGTTAACGATCTCTTCAGTCTGACTGACGCCACCGGATGGAGTATATGTGATTCTGTACTTGTCAAACTCTGCACCGTTGGCACTGGCAGGAGCAAACCAGCCCAGACTAATGGTTGTTGAACTTTGAGCGTCACCAAAGTAGCTTTGAGGAGGATTTGGTTCTATATAAACATTAAGAATAGGAAATCCAATTCAGGTATATCAAAAAAATACTGCTAATTGACATTTGGCATTGCTAGCTTTAAGCAACCTTGTGACAATGGTTGAACATTAAAGTTAGTGGCACTGAGCCAATTGAGACCCTTCCTTGGCCGATTTTCATTATCGTGTTATGAGATAGAGGCTGTATTTAACAACAGGCAGACAAACAAAAATAACGAAAGCAGGTTTTGCGATTGTGCAAGGTATGGTAAATGTGTAAATTTGCAGTGAAGTTTTGAATGTATCTCCTCCAGTAGCACAAGCTGCATGTGATTCCAGATACTGATGGATCTAGAAACATTATTGGTTAGAAGTGGCAAGGAAGATATCACACTCTGTTTTAAGAGCTGCCATGCAATTTAGATTAAGGTTCATCTACTGTAGAGCACAGTCTGAAAAAACTTACTTGTCCTGACAGTCAGAGGTCCTCCTGCTGCCTCTGCACTGACTGTAAGACTGGGTTCCTCACTGACAGCCACAAGACTGATGCTGTACAGAACACCTGGGGACAGTCCTGTCAGACTGGTGCTGGTGGCAGTGGTGCCAGAGATCTCTTCAGTCTGATTAAAACCATTTGCAGAGTATGTCATTCTGTACTTGGCAAAGGTTGCACTGTTCGCACTGTCAGGCAAAGTCCAGCTCAGATCAATGGTTGTTGTGGTAAAGGTTGTGACAGCGAAGTCTTCCGGTGCATTTGGATCTAGATGCACATGTACACAACAAATCATGTATGTATTTTTTTACAAATCTTTATAATAGATAATCAGCCTGTTAGATTAAGTTCGCACTACATTTTGCATGATTAAATCTAAGTGTTCTTTGGCAGTTGAATCTGGAACATTCAAATATAAGTAGGCATGCCGGATCGATACGAAAGGCAAACAAACAAAGAAAGTTTTAAATCGGAAGGAAAAGAAACTTACCCACCAAATTGTTGATAAAAAGAGCCTTATTATAGGGAAACAAGAGTCCATAATAGTCGGAATAAAGGAATTTAAAGACATTGTGCATACGGAGAGCTGCAGTCTCATTTACCGCAAAGTCAAAAAGGTGCCAGGCTCTTGAGTCATAGCTGACATGCAGGTTAACCTAAAGGCTCGTCTAGTGTAGAGCACAGTCTGAAAAACTTACTTGTCCGGACAATCAGAGGTCCTCCTGCTGCCTCTGCACTGACTACACTGTCATCTGCACTCACAGCCACAAGACTGATGCTATACAGAACACCTGGGGACAGTCCTGTCAGACTGGTGCTGGTGGCAGTAGGGTCAGAGCTCTCTGTAGTCTGACTGGCGCCACCAGATGGAGTAGATGTGATTCTGTACTTGGCAAATGTTGCATTGTTGGCTGTGTCAGGTGGAGACCAGCTCAGGCCAATGGTAGTTGTACCTTGAGTTTCACCAGTGAAGCTCTGGGGACCATTCGGTACTATACAAACATTGAGAATTGATGGAAATCATTTTTAGAAGGCGTACGCTCATGAGTTCTCATAACATGTAAACGATCTTGATCCTGTATGTTCAAATGTTCACATTTGAAGAGAAAGACAATAGGTCATTAACCTCAGTTTTTGGTGCAATCAACAGTAGAAGAGGACGAGTCCCTGCAGGTATAGATATACCACAAACCCACACATACTGGCCAATATCTAAACTTCCACTCTAATCACCCCTTAGAGCATAAATTCGGGGTTATCCGTACACTGCAACAGCGCAGAAACAACTAGAGTTCCACGATCTCATACCTTCGCCAAATGATGTTAATCTTTATGACTGACAAATTATACAATAGATTATTCCCCCTGATGTAACAAATAGGAACCTAATTTTCATGAATTATATCATTTTATCATAATCTCGACCAAAAGACAGTCTTGTAATAACAAACAATGCATTCTAGTATTTCCTAATAAATTATGCGAATGAGGTCCTGATTTGAATAAATTATGTTTAATGATGTTCACCTCAAATTAACTTTAAAATACCACAAGTATGAAATTCCAGACAGTTATCATTAGATAATTATAATTTTTTCATTAATTATGCAAATTAAGTCATTATTAACATAATCAATATCTGCCTGTGTTTCTCTCGTTGTCAATTACCAATGTCACAAGCTTCAATTGTCTTATCATGGAATGCAGCTGATTTATATAATTTCCCCATAAATTATGCAAATTACATCCATATTTGCATAATTGTCACATAATTGTATTAAGCATCACGTAAGCTACCTACATACCAAAAATCACGACGATCCGTCAACCGGTTCTTGAGTTATCCTCTTTTTAATATTTTCAAGAATATATCCCTGCAGTTCCATAGCAAGCCGCTAGGGGGCCCAAACTCACGTCACTTCTTCCCAAGCACAAGAGCTACCTACCATTCAAATTTCATCACCATAGCATGTCTAGATCATGAGATATAAAAACCGGAAGTTCAGCTGCAGTACCATAACAAGCCGCTAGGGGGTCCAAAATCTAATCATTTTGAGGTCTCATCAAGACCTACCCACCTACCAAGTATCAAGACAATCCATCAAGGCCTTCTCGAGTTATCGTGTTTACAGACAGACAGACACACACACACACACACACACACATACACGAACGCCTCTGAAAACATAACCTTCTTGGCGAAGTTAATTATTACTGACTCTCAAGGTTTAGAGTAGGAGGACCATCACATTTCACAGTCGTTATGTAATGTGGGTATCCGACTTGGGCTCTAGACAAGGCCAGTATACCAAAAGCTTAAAACCTCAAAATTCTAGTTACTGTAATTAGAAGCGACATGAACAGATGTCTTAACAGGTGGCTTTTTCGCCACACACGTGATCAAGACCCGTTTCCTACCGACTAGAACCATCAGAAGTACTTAAGCCTCACTTAGGGACAAAACGCCAAAAGAAAATTAGTGTGGGGTAGTATACCACATACAATGTCAAGGTTTGTTAATGTTTGTTTATTTCAGTTTGCACATAAAAATAAAAACAGTATGTAATGAATATGTACAACCAAACGTGCGGGAGAACCCAGGAAACCTAACGGTTTATCGAGTGGGTTCTCCTAAAATTCAATTGTTTTTATGATCACTTTATACACACGTGTATTGTAAATAAGTGACAAGGAAACAAATTAAATCAAAATAGATACAAAAAAATATAGAGATAACAGGACGAACTAACTATCTAATTGACTAAACAATAAAGTAAGACTATCAAAAATATGTCAAATTGAACAAAAAATTCATTAGTCAAATCATTATTAAAAGTTATTATGCATAAAAGCAAAGGATAAACATAAGAAAGCAATATTAACACTAAATCAAATAAACGTAGCATAAGAAAACAAGGAAAACAAAAGCAAATCAAGAAGTGGTAGATGGCCTCTCTATCAGGTCAATTTTTAGATATCTTTTGAAAGGTTTGAACTCGAAGGGGCCTTGTGATGAAACATAGATCGAAGAGACTGAAAGACCTCTCAAGTATAGGTTTTAGAGTCACAAACGACCTAGTTCGAGTACCTCGGAAATCTTACAACATATGCATATAGAATCGTCTTGAAACTCGGCCAATTAGAGCTCTAGGGCAAATGCAGCAAGTGGCTTCATCACATCTCCCTCCCGCACAAATGGATTGTTCCTAAATCAATCATGTCGACTAAATATGAAGTGTTCCAACAGTCTATACCCCCATGCAGCAATGGAATCTGCAAATGCCTTCTGCTAGTGCTGTTGGAATTATCGTCGACATTATCGTCGGAAAGTAGTGCAAAGAGTGAGATCTAGAATAGATTGCTACCAAAATCATTTTAAGTAAGGCCATGTTGATTTGATTATATGAATGACATCCTCCGGGAGCCCCAAAACTGATGCGCGCGTGCGAATAAAAAAAGTTTTGGCAAAAAAAAGTTCTTTTCATTATGAAATCTACGTGGTCATGAGGGTTGAGCAAATGGCACAGAATATGGTTTGGCGAATAACCTAGTCTTCAAGTTCATTTCTTTACAATTTCGTCTTTTTTCGTTTGATTTTGGCATTCTACGACATTGGTATAGTTTTTATTAATTTTTTTGTAACTTATGGTATATTTTTGCTCATTTTGCAACTGTTTTGTACGATTTACAGTATGGTTGAAAACTTTTTTTTTGAAACGGCCGAAAATTCATGCGCGCGCGGATGTCATCCATATAATCAAATCAACATGGCCTAAGTCCATCGCCCCAAATACGATCTCAGAAGATTCACTTTTACACAAAATCAGTCACTTAAAATAATCCTATTGTAACGAAAGAAAGTAAAGTTTAAACATACTTGATATCCGAGTCGTTGTTCCTGGTGTAGCTGTCGTTGATAGCTGGGTTGTTGCAATCGGCACTAGTGTTGTGGTCGGCCCACCTGGCCCTGTGGGTAGATCATTACCTCCATAAAAAATGGAGGCATTGTTTTTGGCGTGCTTGTGTGTATGTGTGTGTCTGTGTGTTTGTTTGTGTTTCCGCACATTTGTAGTCAGCATAATTAAAACGCCTTTATGGATTGTGATGATATTTGGTATGTTGGTAGTTCGTAGGAAGACAAAGGTCAAATATGGGCCTCCTGTTGGCTGACCTTGGTACTGCAGCAGAACTTCCGTTTTTTTCTTTTGTATCTTTTGTCCTGAACATGCTATGGTCTTGGATTTTTGGTGACAGATAGCTTTTCCTGTCAGGAATAAGTGGTGTGGGTTTTGTCCCCCCTAGTAGCTTGTTCTGGAATTGCAGGGGAGTTTCTAACGAAATCGTTTAAAGCCGATAAGTCCAAAAAGAAACAACGTATTTTCATCATTTTTTTGTTTGTAGGTTGCTTATAGAGATTTCTACATAATCAAATGCAAATTATGCAAATGACGACTTGATTTGCATAATTAAAGAGAGTATGTTGATGAAAGAGAAATTCTGTAATTACAGTGTTTTACATAATAGTACATGTAATGTATGTAATCTACGGCAGATTATGTAAATAATGACCTAATTTGCATAATTGATTTGAAAATTCTGTGATTTGTCAATGGTGAATGATGGGAATTTTATACCATGAGACTTGTTTAAGTTACTTAAAGGTTAACTGTAATATGCATATATCATGTTAAAATAGAGGTCATTTGCATAATTAATGTGGACATGTTGACTTGAAATATTGACAAAAGATGGGAACTTCACAAGCAAAATATTGTAATTTGAGTTTAGAAAACCATAAAATGTTGTTGGCGGCTCAGTTGGTGTTGTTGGCGGCTCAATTGATGTTGTTGGTGGCTCAGTTGACGTTGTTGGTGGCTCAGTTTGTGCTGTAGGCGGTCCAGTTGTTGCCGCTGCTGTAGTCATATTCCCTGCTGTGACCGCTGCAATGCATGCGATATTTTTTTTGTTTTTAATAGCAACACTTCAACTTTTAAATCAATAAAACTATCCTAGTCAAATCTCAATTTTGTTACAATATTTTTATAATGCAAAATTAAATTGCATATTTTCTTGGGAATTTAAGGCCGCTTTGAATCAGTTGTTTGGTTTGAATGTTCTAGAATAAGCATTCAACGCGCTTGAGAGTAATTCACACACATTTTAGCGCTTTAATAAAAACAGCAACATTTCAGGTATATTCAAGGCGGATTTTATTTCATTTGGACAGACGAATGAACGAATGAAACTGCTATTCAAAAAGATTTACCAACCACCATGATGTAATACTTTCCAAATGTAATAATTTTCAAAATTCCATGTAGTGCTTTTCAACACTTCAAAGTGTTCCCAAAACCCAACAGAGATGAAAATTGGATATCAATTAGCAGTGATAAATAACTAAATTAAACAGAAATACCGGGATTTGAGCCAGCAACCTTTTTCCTTTAATAATGATAACAAAAATCAACACTATTCACACACACTATTCCTAACCATAAGAAAACAATTTACTAGTAAAACAGAAGAATCCATATATTATAGTAGTGGGTAAGTTCGTTTTATACTGCCCCAAAAGAAGAAGTGAAACCCAACAATATTAAAACTAATAGTGATCAAATCATAAAAAGATCCCTTCCAAATACAGTTACAACATCCTCCTTTGAACAATTTTGAAGGAATGTGTGCCAAAAGTGTTAATCAATTTGTGTGGGTATATATCATAAAGGCACACCCATATCAAATTTCAGATGTACATTTTATGATTGATATAAAAAAAGAGGTTACAAAGGCCTGAATAAAGAAAAAAACGCCTGTGATTACTTGTTCCCTGTTCCTCTATACGACAAATTCAAAAAAATCAGTTGACCCAAAGAAGTTGAATCATTTTACAAAACAACAAGGGAAGGAGAGGAAACAGCATACATCATCCACACCATGGTATGTAATGAAATAGAATAAGTCCAAAGGGAGAAGATGACAGATAAATGAATGACGAAAGAGATATACAAACAAAACATTACAAAACTTATAATAATTCATGGCAATGTGTTTTCTCTAGTTATAGTGCAAGTGATAAATCACTTACCATAAATGGCAAACAGCAACAGTCTCAATTCTGCATGTAATAATGCTGTATTCATGTTCGTGTCTGTGATATGTGCTGTTTCAACAATTCATTGATTTGTTCCCTTAGCCTCCAGAGGTCTACTTTGGGCCTGAAAGAAAGAAAATAAACAAAATAGAATCATCCTTCACTTTAACGACACTAAACACTTCAAAGTTCTCCGTCTGTCTTCATTTTGCTAAATATGACGCTTGATAAGAACTTTCACAGTTAATGCTAAATATTGTGGACTAGATAGAAGTTACGACCAATATTAAAGACACAATTTGATGGTGTGATTCTCTGTGGGGAAAATATGAAATGATTAATGAAAATGTATTTTAATGTTATAAGGATATATAAAAAAACGTTAAATATCTAAGGGCCGGATCATTTGATGAGTGGTCAGGAGCAGTAAAAGTTGTGTGTGTGTGTATTGCCCGTTCTGTTAGCTGCACATGTGAGCATGACTGCACAATATGTTCTTGAGAACATGTCTGCCTTAACCCTGTCCAAGCCCGGGTGTGTGTTCATGCTGGGACCGGGTGGGTGGGGATGGGGGCTTTTAGGACCCGCCCCCTGTATCAACAACTAGTTATCGTAGGATTAGGCCACACCAAGTAAATTTTATGGATGACGTCCTTTGCAGACCCTAAATCTAATGCGAGAGGGCGAGAAAAAAACAAGAAGGGCCCTAAAAAACAAGATGCCTAGATGAGAAAAATACTAAGAGACGACAAATGTTAGGACACAAATTGAATAAGGTGACACAGTGTAACAAGCAAGAAGTCTTTTATTCATCATCGAAACAGTAATAAATCAGGTGGAACAGAAGTTGTCGTCCTGTCCTGTTTTCGCGTTACGGGTTTCACGTCAATCTGACAATTTGTGGCACTGTCGTGACTGTTCGAGTCATTGTTACAGGAAGCGGAATTTCTTGTTTTTTTTTCTAGGAACAGGCCAAAATCAATGCGCGCGCGGACGTCATCCATAAAATTTACTTGGTGTGGCCTTACCAAATCCTCAGAAAATTGTGAAGTATCAATTATGACGTGTTTGACGTCATTATCACCGTTCTCAACGGTAGCAATGGCGTAAATACGACATGAAATCGCTATATATCTACCATCACATATTCATTATTACATTCGCCAAGGTTTTCTGTAACATGTGTTGATAGTTATAGGATCGTTAACATGTAGACAAACACGCATGCGCAACGAGAGAAGACAAAAAGCCCTCTCAGACGAAGGATGTCTAGTGAGTGACTGAGGAATAAACAAGCAGATTTGACTTGGTGAATTTGGCTTGGTGTTCAGTCAATGGATTCCTACCCTAATACTAGGCTTTTTGTTTACTAATACTAGTAATAGACAAAGTACACACTTCGTGAGAAGCCATGGCCAACTTACTTATTATTTTGCAAAAAAAGTTACTCCCAGGCCTTACCAAGTTTTGTGTCGTATAGTGAGACTCGTGTATACTATATTACACCAAGCTATGAACGGAAACCTTTTTAAGATAATACGCTTTATACACTTTATTTCAAAAGTATATATTTTGTTATATATCTATGTGTCTAATACGTATATATAGTAGAATACTTGACTCATGTTCCTGCCCACGCAAGTAAGCAAACCTACCCGTGAACTTGGAACTAGATTGCACACTTGGAACCAAATTGCCCCCCCCACCCCCCGTAGGGGCTTTATTTGTGCTGCACAAACGGAACGGAACACTATACATCTATCATAGAGAGCGGTAGTACAAAAATGTACCTGCTGGGTAGTACTGTTGTCACCTGTAGCAAATTCGCCTGCAGAAATATTCTCCTCGACTTTAACGAACTCAATAATGTCCAGTTGGGAAAGAGGAATCGCGCAGTGCTCGAGGAAATGGAGCACTAAAACTAACACTTGTTTCCTTGTTGTGTTCTGGGGGTGATTTTGATGTACATTAGGGCGCTGAAATGGTGCGTGCAAAGCAGTGTCACAAGTCACATACCGTGCCGCTCATTAGCATATGGGAACTGTTTACTGCTGCGAAAGGTTGGCTCTCATTCAAGATACACCTGAAAAGACTGTTATCTTCCGAAAACAAAGTCTACTTATGGTATGAAATAGATCTAGATACAAAGTGCCTTGGATATAAAATAATGATATTATATGTTATACATGGGGCAAGTTAACGGTGTCCTCTCAACATGTAAAAAAAACAGGTTTTATGACCGGGAACTAATCTGTTCTAGCCCCATTTCTGGAAAACTCTGTTCACGTGCACGGTGCATGTTTACTCAACTTCTAGCCAATCACAGCCCCCCGTTTGTAGCAATACCCCATGCTCTAAGGCCGTGTTCATGTGAAGTCAGTGAAGGCGCTTTACATGTGGTTTACCCCGAAGCCGATCTCAAGTGGCTCCATCTGAACGTTCCAAATCACATTGAAAGCGCTTCGATCCCAAACCACTTCTAGAGGTGGTTTCGAATCGGTTTTCCCGCATCGCGATTTGCGTCTGAACGCAATGTGATTTCCATGTAAAGATCTGTTGAAGCGGAGCACACTAATTCTGAGATGACGTGTTCTAGTCAATACGTGGTCATAAAATTGTTGAGATGCTTGCAGTGTTTAGTGTTAGTTATTTAAGGGTTAGGTGTAGTTTGGTATAATGTAGCCAGCTGCCGCCGCGCCGCGTGCCTGCAGAGCTGGTGTGTTACGCCGAAGGGCCGTTATACCTGCTATACAGATACAGAAGCTGGTGTGTTACGCCGAAGGGCCGTTATACCTGCTATACAGATACAGAAGCTGGTGTGTTGCGCCGAAGGGCGGTTATGCCTGCTATACAGATACAGAAGCTGGTGTGTTACGCTGAAGGGCGGTTATGCCTGCTATACAGATACAGAAGCTGGTGTGTTACGCCGAAGGGCGGTTATAGCCGGCTATACAGATACAGATACATTTGTATTTCTTCCTCGCCAGGATAGGACTGTCTCTTTCGTAATGTTCTTGTGATCAATACATTCTCTTTTGTTACTCCAACGGAACAGATTCAGAAACTATTAAAGATGAAGGTATATATCTACCATGCATAGTACAGACTTTACTTATTTCCTGAGTGTCTGCTGCTACTAGAATATATAACGTTATACCTCTCTCGCGCTCCCGCAAACGCCCATGCAAGTATGTGTTTACGTACCTGTGATTGAACTTGCAACTACTGACACCGTTGAGACTTACTGTTGTCACCTGTAGCAAAGGTGCCTGAAGAAACCTTTTCGACTTCTACAAACGCACAAATGTCCACTACTGCACTCGAGGAAATGGAGAAAAAAATGTCAACTATTGTTTCCGTGTTGTGTTCTGGTGGTGTTCATGAGATGGTGCGTGCAAAGCAGTGTCACAAGTCACATACCGTACCGCTCATTAGCATATGGGAACTGTTTACTGCTGTGAAAGGTTGATGTTAATTCAAGATACACCTTATACACATTATGGTATGAAATAGTTATGATCAGATCAGTGCGTTGGATATCAAAGAATAATATTAGGTTATGCATAGGGCAAGTTAACGTTGTCCTCCGAACATATAGAAAACGTAATTTTTCCAAGGTCAGTCATACCCCTCCGTCACGTCTATACCCTCGGATTTTCACCGACAGATGTCTTTCTACTTTCTCATTAGCATGGACTTTTCTCATGTGTGAACAGTAAAGATCTGCGGAACGCACGTACATGTATAAGAAGACAAAGAGGGTTGGATGTTTTCGTCAACAGAAATCTGAGGTGACTTGTTCTGGTCAGTGCGCGGTCACATTCTTTGTTGAGATGTTTTTGAGATTCTACATGTATAACAGAACCGACCCCAGAATGCCCTCAACTCGCTGCCAATGTCGTAAACCTATTGCGCGATGAATTATATATAAACAGAACATTACAAAATAGTGGCAGATGTTTTACTTTAAGTGAAATAGCGCGACGTCTACTACAGTAAGTCCTGTGCTTCAATACGACGGTGACAATTGTGTGGCAAGCAAGCGAAGAGCAGGTGAGGTGTAAAACTAAAAGCCTGGTTCAACGTTAGGCAAGGGTGTGACATCTGGTTTTTTAGATCAATGCAACGTTCTATTTCATGCAGTTGGCAAATGCACTAGTCATATACGCCATGGACCATATGGTCGTTTAATTCATATGTCGCATTAATATTGCAAGAGACTGCATTGTATCTCAAGAAGAACGCGGAAGAGACAGCCATGTCCTGACGAGGAAGAAATAGCAATGTACAAACGTCACCATTCACCCTTTCCCATTCCCAGGATGCAATATAAATCGCATTGTCGACCTCCTGGCGCTATGCATACTGGGAATAGGAAAGGGGTGGACATCTATTACTGTGTAGTCACGCACAGCTTTAAACCTGGTATTTAAGGAGCTACCGAACTGCAAATTAGATGAGGAATGCCACGATTCAGTGTCGGCGCATTGACTGTACTTGGTCGATAAGAATATCAACATTTCACTCACACTCACATTTCGAACCTGACTGAATCATGCTTTAACTGTAACATTAAAAAAACGTGTATATATACATGTATGTGAGCCCAAAATATTAACATTTTTATCAGTAATACATTCAGTGCTCTCTCGGTACCATTGCGTGATTTTTAGGGATCGGCTGACGTTCGCAAGTCGCAAAGCCCCGTTCAGTTTGATAGGATTAATTGTCAATCAAAGATATACGCTCAAACTGTTGATCTCACGTGAGTTTAAAACTTGCCAACCTTCCGGGGTCAAGCCATAGACATATGATCCTGCCAAATACATGACTCCGACACTACTTGGGGGGTTCCAATATATCCGAGACAAGAGGTGTGGGGGGGGGGGCGGTTAATTGTGATTAAACAACAAAAAGGCAACAAAATTTTTTTTTTCCAAAATCAGGCGAAAATTAAATGCACGCATTGATGTCATCAATGAAAATTACTTGCTGTGGCCTTATGCAGAAATAATGATGTCTAGAGTTTTTTTTATCATCTTTGTTTATTTATTTTGTCTTCTACACTTTAAATCAACAAGGTGTAAAGCATTGTGAGACCAATACAGTCCCTACATACAG